TTTATAATGCTAAACCTTTTAAAATAATGTTAATACCGCTATAACCAGACATATATTAATATTTGGTGGCATTAAACTCCTACTTTCACTTTCACATACTTCATTTCCGGTTAAGAAATACGAAACTGAGACTTCCGAATTAATGCTTTACCGTGCACAGCTCCCGTTTATAAGGCTACATTCGCGTTACCGGTTGAAACGGTTGAACCTGTAAAGAAAACGCGTCCACTAAATTACATATCGTATCTTAAAAAATACATGTGGCTTGACATTGTTTTAGAAAGAAATAACGCAAACTAGCAATATTCAGCAGTTTAGTTTCGGCCAGGTACGTCTGGACCCCTCAATCTACACGTACCAAATTTTCCTGAGGACAGCCTCGGTCCAAATCTGTACCTGTCGTTTTCGTTACAGGTTCAACCGGTTCAACCGTTTCAACCGGTAACGCGAATGTACCCTTGTCCTCACCCGAAGTGTTCCGAACGACCTTTTCGTTTACGGAGGTCGAGGACCGAGGAGTAACGAGTGCTCTGCCCAAGGACACAGAAATGGCTGCACGTGTGCTCAGTGCGTTCTTGAGAACAAAATCTCCATACAAGCCATTGAAAAGGTATAATGTTATGAAAAGGATATATTGTATGTTTTTTCTTAGTAGGTAATTAATTCATTATTGTATTTTACAATAGATGGTATCAACTCGTATGATATATAACGGGAACCACATGGTCCACTCGTTGCGTAAGCTACTTCGACAAACAATGATGTTATTAATGAACAAGTGTGTAATAATTTGTTCAAAAGTAGGATTATTGTTGTGTGTACATGAATACTCTGTATGTACATGAATACTCTTCAATCGACTTTACATATATGGAGAATGCAAGTAGGGAGTTCCCCAGAATTCCATAACAGACGATTCGTCCCAAACTGGTTTGGCTTACATGCTTAGGGCCTACGGATGTACGGATCCGGGTCGTTTCGGATTAAATCCCGTTCGCGCTACGTGTCCTTTCCCTAAATCTAGTATTAATATTAATTCCCGGCCGGGTATTAAATCAATCCCATGCCTTATAATGGAGCAAGCCCTGTGTGAATATGATGGTAATATGTTTGACGTTAGACCTCGGAGACTAAGCTAAGAGTCTCGTTACAGAATACTAATTCACATACAGAAATAATGGCAGTAGGTAATACCATCTCTTTATGGAGTTCTATCTTCCCCCGTTCTTCCTAATCAGGTTGGGGAAAACCACCAACTTGCGTATATTTGATTGATTGATTGATAGGTTTTACGTCCGCTTCACTACTGCGTATTTCGGTTATCCAGCAGACGAAGAACAGAAAGGAAAATGAGTAGAAGGGATAAAGTATGGAGTAAAAGAGTAGAAGAGGGGGAAAGTTTGGAGAAGGGGCCGTCTATCCTATATATATTAACTGTATAAGTCTAGTTTTTGTAAGACGGCTCCTATGCCTAATAATGCCTTAACCTAACACTCATCGTACAGCATCACCAAGTCAGGACCGGAAGTGAGGTACTGTGCCGCCTCCAGCCACACCAGCCCCTGCCTATTCTATGAATTTGGTTTGTGTATAAAATTTGGAAGTTCATCTAAATGTCTTAATAAAGAGTATACGAAAACTCGCCTATTATACGCCAGTCGGAGTATGGATTTGTTACTAAAAATAACCCAAATCGCTTTAATAGTAACCGTAGTATGAAGTTAACGAAGCCATGTAACATGATTTTAATCAGATTGAACCTTTGCAAGATATTATTAAAAATCGCATTAATTTACGACAAGGTAAATAATATTTTGCTAAAAGATGTTTACTGAAAGCGTTGGCTACTTAGGAACTTGACCGGAAGTATTGCATCTATTTTTGGTACTTTCCCACATGCAAATAAAGTTTATTTTTGTATTTGTATTATGTTTTATGACTGAATAAATGCGACTTGGACCAACAATGTAATAGGCGAGTTTGCATATTATATGCAAGTTAGTGGTTTTCCCCGACCTTATAATACCATGCCTTGTATACTGAGGTGCCAACCAAAGTCACTATTTGTTCTTATCAGATGATTATAGGACTGGAATCACACTGGGGAGAATTCACAGCACATTGCTCCACATCCATAGCAAGCGCAATCGAAAATCTTAATTGACCGCCATGTTGGAAAGTTTGTTTCTCTTCCGATAAAGGTCAGACGTCTATATATGGGTGTCACGACCAAATATGGAAATTAATAATTGAGATAACATCACGCATAATCTGTCATGACGGTCGTTTCTACTTTCTTCCCCAAGACAGACTTGGCTAATTTTGTGAAAGATGTTTTAGCTCACCTGGCCGGAAGCTTATGTCGTCCGGCAACTTTTTCTTTTGAATGACTTCTTCTTAAGAACAAGAGGACCTACAGTAGGTTCATGATATTTGACCAGTAGATATCAGGGATGAAGTGCTATACATTTTTCACATTAAAATGACTTTGACCTACTTTCAAGGTCACAGGGGTCAAATATGTTAAAAACTTCAAACACCAATATCCTAAGAACCATTTGGACTAGAGCCATGATACTTGGGTATATTATGTAGAATAGCAGTGCAAATCTTTTCCTCAACTACAGTAATGAGTTCAAAGGTCAACTTTAAGTGCTAGTCAGGGGTCAAACGTCAACATTGGTTAAAACCTTTTACAATCTTCTTATCAAGTTCCATAAGGCCCAGGGTCATGATATATGGCCAGTACCTGTTATATAGACCAGCAGTGCAAATATTTTTCTAAACAACAGTAATGAGGTCAAAAGTCAACTTTAAGTGCTAGTTGGGGGCCATGGGTTAAAACCTTTGACAATCTTTTTCTCAAGTTCCATATTTGGCAAGTAGGATCCTGGGATGCAGTGCTTTAACGTGTGCTCATTAAAATGACCTTGACCTAGTTTCAAGATCACAGGGGTCAAATATGTAAAAAACTTCAACCAAAATATCCTAAGAACCATTTGGACTCTAGTCATGATACTTGGGTATGCTATGGAGACCAGCAGTGCGAATATCTTTCTTAATTACAGTATTGAGGTTGAAAGGTCAACATACAAAATGTAAGTGCTAGTCAGGGGTCAAACGTCAACATGGGTTAAAAGCCTTAACAGTCTTCTTCTCAAGTTCCATAAGCCCCAGGGTCATGATAGTTGGCCAGTAGGTACCAGGGATGGATTGCTATGAAGTCTTCTCATTAAAGTAACCTTGACCTACTTTCAAGGTCACAGGGGTCAAATATGTTGAAAACTTCAAACAACAATATCCTGAGAAGAATTTGGTCTAGAGCCATGATACTTGGGTATATGTCAGTCATGTAGACCAGCTGTGCATCGTTTTCTTTATTTAAGTAATGAGGTCAAATGTTAACTTAAAGTGCTAGCCGGAATCAAAGGTCAACGTGGATTAAAAGTATTCAAATTTCAAATTTCAAACAACAATATCTTAAAAAGCGTTTCAGAGATGTTAAAATGCTTGTGTTCTAGTTACCAAATTTGGTCTGAAGTTAGCTATATATAACAGTTCCATGTAACCAAAGAAACAGGTGAGTGATACAGGCCCTTTGTGCCTCTTGTTTTCATTGGCAAGGATTCATTTTTTGAACAATTTTGCAATATTTTGATAACATTATACTCATCTGAGGCGTGAATAATATGTAATCATACAGATAAGCACTTTTGATTTTGCTCCATTAGTTGGCATAGAATCGCTTCATTGCTCTGACGACGCAATATATAAAAATATCTGAAGCTACCCTAAATCCAGTTGCCCAAGGTTGTTTCATCCTAATATATATATTTAAAGATATGAATAAGAATTTCAGTTGAAATGTTTTTAATTATTAAAAATTCTTACTTTTTCAAGTTTCACTACAAAATTTGATGAAAGTCCGTTATTTTTACAAGCAAAAATTTGTCACTTACCGCTACCATAACACCTCCAGCGTTAGTGACATGATCCAACATCTTAACTTGCCCAGCCTCGCTGATAGACATCTTGCTATGATGTATAAAATATCACACAATAAAGTTGCCATTCAATAAAGACCTCCACTTGACACCACAGTTACAACTATCCAGGCATTCTCATCATCTCTCCTATCAGATTCCTCACTGTAAAGCTGACTGTCGTAAATTCTCTTTCTTTCCCAGAACTATCCCAGAGTGCAATAAACTGCCTCCTGACCGGCTGGTAACTTCAGAATCTTTTGACACCTTTAAAACCAAACTTCACTCTCTAAATCATTAGTATTTCATACACACGGCTACACATCCTTCTTTGCCATGCACACACCCTCACAACCCTACATTGACATATAATCTTCAATATGATGAAGAAGGTCAATTATTTGGTAGACGTACAAAATAATGTAAGTAGACGTAAATGTCTTGCCGAAAATAATTCCCTAAAATATATTGTATATATATATATATATGCAGATCTGGTCGATCACGTACAAATCGAACAAGTCTTATAGCCAAAACAAAAAGCTAAAGGAGACCTAGAAAAACTTCAAATTAAGACTATGTTAGGCATACACAACTGAACAGGACTTAAAAAAATCACCATTAAAGATATTTTTAGGGCAAAACAACTTAGTGCAAAAGGACTCGGGCGAACAGGATTTAGGGTGAAACAACCTGATACCACATGTACAGGTTGGGCACAACAGCGCATATGGGTAATAATCCTCCATTTGGGTAACCATTTTATTTTGAAATAGGAAATCTTCTACTTTAATTTACCACAGAGAAAGAGACTCCCTAGCACTAACTTAGAGTCAGTAAGGAGCTGATCTATTTTACCAGAGTGACATACTTCTTCTTAAGGAATAAACTTGCTCCAAGTTTTTTAAGGGTTTGAGCTGCTAGTTAAAGGTACTGTGCTGCTGACTTTCAATCTTTTTTCTAATCGACAGGATTTTTTTTCTTGCCTAGCAAAAGTTATAAAAATTTCCATAGATTATCGTGTATACCACTGAGGGTGTAAAACCTGTTATAGCTATAAAACAAAAAGAAATTAAAATTAGGGATGTAACGATTCACTGATGCATCAATGTATTGGATCACAAGGGCCGCAATACGATGCATCAATGTATTGGATCACAAGGGCTGCAATACGATGCACCCATGCGGCAAGACTGTCGTGATACCTGCGATACTTTTCATTTTGTACTCTCCCTTGCTGGAACTCTTAAAGAAAAAATAGTTTTAGCAATCAACAAACCAAAATGACAGACAGAGACGATGACGAGAAGTATGTCAAATGCAAGGCGTCTGCACATTTCAAGTCGCCTATCTCGCAATGGTTTACTTTCAAATCTGCTAGATCCAAAGATAATGTATTATAGCTATATAGACATACGAAAGTGTTTTTGTATTGCAATGAATGTCGGAGGAAACTTAAAAATGCTGGAAATACCACGAACGTGCACACACATGCGTGTACGACTCGTCAATATTTTGATCTTTACAGCGCCAGTTCGAAGAAAACCCCACGTTACATGTCTTTTACATATTAGACATTAAAAAGGATATGTCAAACATGTCAGTCTTATTTCTATGTTGGAGAATAAAGCCTAAATGTGATGGTTTCCGTTCAAAACCAATTACGACCACTATCGGTTGTTAATAAATATTCATCCATTTTCTGTTGTTGGCAATTATGGTTTTAAGGAATAAATGAACACTCTAAAATTTACCACTGACCCATGCCAAAGACTGATGCAATGTTTCAGATTTTGCTTGCGTGAATTAAGCAAAACTCATTTTTCTTTTGCATAATTTGTGAATTATTGTGCGTGAATACGCATTCACGCAAGCAGTCTGGAGCACTGCACTGTAGTATTTCTCGTTAATAAGGTATTTCTGTTTCAAAGTTTTTGAATGGAGAATCAGATATGGTGTAAAACCATATTTCAAATAACATGAATTGTCAATGTAGCATCTAGGAAATTATTATATTTAATTTTGATGTATAGGCACATGTACACCAATAATTTTGCATATATTTTCTATTGTAGTTTCCACAGCTGTACTCTCTTGTTAAGTAAAGATGCAGAAACAAAAAGCATGGAGCATGAAAATGAAGATAACAAAAGTATCTTGGATAAATGGGAAGATGTTTCACATGTTCCGGAGAACAATCAGTACTATCGAAACATGTTAGAGGAATCAAACATTAAAAATACTGCTAATCCAAAATCATACAGCAGTTACAATGACACTAGTAGTTCAAGTAGTCAACCGAGATCATACAGCAGCCACGATTACAATGTGACAGGCAGTCCCAGAAGTCAACCGAGATCATACAGCAGCCAAGATTACAATGTGACAGACAGTTTCAGAAGTCAACCGAGATCATACAGCAGCCAAGATTACAATGACACTGGTAGTTCCAGTTATCGACCGAGAAATAGTAACATTGGTGGTTTTGATAGGGGATCAAACACAACAGGTTTCGACTTCGAAGGGCCTGTCGATTCTCCAGGCTTTGATCCAAACATCTTGAAGGATGTGTATGAGGAGCACTCAAACACTGCTACACGAACACAAGTAAGTTCATCCAAAAATGTCCTTTGCCCTGTAAACACTGTGGTTTCACTGGTTTGTCTCTTGTCCTACCTTAAACAATTGTACCGGAAGTATCTTTCTCAAAGTTCATGTATATATGTAGGTTCCCCGGCTCTTGGTCTGTAGTTGTGTGTGCTTCATTTTCAGACAGATATATATAGTAGTATAGGCATGCAATGTAATATGTCTGAGGAAGATTTCAAGAATGGGAGAATAATAGAATCTTCCCCTACCTTGAGGGTGTGATAGAGAATTAATCTCCAACCCTCGGGGTGATTTTTTTTTGGTTGTCTAACCCGAGGCTCTGCCGAGGGTTAGACAACCAAAATAAATCACCCCGAGGGTTGGAGATTTCTTTGTCACACCCTCAAGGTAGGGGATGATTGTTTTTCTCCCATCCTATTATTTCAGTCACAACTCCACCGACAGTAGTGTAAACAAAAACACATTTGGGGTATGAATGACGTCACAATCGAACACGTGCTAATCAGCATAAGGCTATCTCCCCCTAGGGGGTGACAAGCTGATCTTTCCCGGCTAAACCGGAAGACACACCTGTGAAGGGTGGGAGAATAATTAATCACTCCTGTGTGATGCAAAATACACAACAAAATATCAATCCACAGGATATCATATTTGACGTTAGTAATTGGCAAAGCTTAAGCCTCATGTCAGATTTCACACATCTTGCCCTCTGTTTGAGATACAATTTACCTAGCTCTAGGTAAATGCAACAGTGATTTTCTATTGGTCAATCTATAATTATATAAGCTACCATTAAGTTTAATTTGAATACTGTTCTATATAGGTTTTACCTCATGATGTTGCCTCAACATGTACATTATCTTTTCTTCAAACATATATAATGAGACTCATAAAAATATCAATGTCCTTATAATTAAGTGACCTTAGCTGTTAATAGGAAACCAAAGCCAGACCAAATCAAAGAAATATCATGAAAACTCATCTCTTTCAAGTCTTTGATTTGACACTTGCTTTGACTAAATCTGACATATTATTATTGGCCAAAACTAACTGTATCTAGTTTGTACATGTATATATCAATGATTGTTGATATCAAAAAGTCCTAATGTCGTCGGTCAGGTCAGTAATTATTTGTGTATTGTTTACAGGAAGAAATAGAAAGATTTTATGCAGATAACAAAATTAATATGATGGGATCCAAAGATATCAAGCCTATTTTGTCTTTTGATGAAATAACTGGCATGGGTAAGTATTGCACTGAGTACTCAATATGTCCAGTTGGCTCAAAATGGCTCAAGATTTCTATAAATTCTTCATATTACCTCAGATGTTGCATGGGTGTTAAATGCCAAACAAATAAAATCTGAATTCCACATTAGGGTAAAATTGGCAATTTCCATAATTTTTCAAGCTGAAAAGAACGCCCTCTGATGAAGAAGTGTTTTAGACTCCTACAGTGTCAGTCTAAATTAAAAGGAAAAATGTTGGTTTAGGATTAACCTAATTATATATATCATCCTAGCTTTAACGACAGACTCCGGGGAATATGATGTCAGTTTGTAGTATATAGATAATCACAGATATGTCAGGCCTAGGATCAGTTGTAGAAGGGTATTTAAAGGCTACCAGTAGATACATCAAATATTCCACTCTTGGATTCATGAAGTGAAAGGATTGGAAGGTATGCAAGGTCTCTAAATTACATATTTCATTAATTGCAGAGCAATTACTGAGTCTGATCAGACAAAAGGGGTGGAAAGAACCCTTTCCTATCCAGTCGGTGACTTGGCCAGTAGCCTTGTCTGGCCGTGACATGGTAGGAATTGCAAAGACTGGTTCCGGAAAGACACTTGGAGTAAGTACAATTATAAATGTGTATAACAAAATCATAAATTTGATGATTTTTGCAGAAAGATTCCCAAATGGAAATTGCATCCTGGACATATGGCCACATTTATAATTTATATGACTGATTTTTACGAAACTTCACAAGTATGTTTGCCTTACATGGATGTAGTCGATCAAAGGTAATGGTCGCCTTAAGCTTACTAAAACTGGAATTTCAGTATCACACTAGTGGCTGCATTTGTTGACAGCCTGATAGGGAGTTGAAATTACTTTTCTCTCTGTACATAGATGCATGAGCTGATTTGAACTTAATTTGTTATAAAACATGTTCAAAAAAGAAGAGTGTGTACTGCCCTGAGGGCAGAGGACCAGGTGAAATATGGAAAATAATGAACAGATTAAAATAAACAGATTTTATATTCATTTTGAAGGATTCTTTGGCCAATGAGACTCGTTGCTTTACAAACAAAGGCCTAGGGTGTGGCACTATTGGGACAGATACGGGGGAGGGGGATTTAGCCATCTGTCATGAACTGGCCTGGCCCAATCACACAAAGTGTTGCCAAAGGAAAGCAAAGAATCCTTGAATTCTGGGCATGACTTACTAGCTTACTCAAGGTCAAGGTCTCCATTGCTGTATAGATTTTTGCATGTTCAGATGATAACTGACAAAGAATAAATATTTTGTTGGAACCTTGATACAACTTTATATCAGAATAACTAGGAGACCGAGGTTAATAATAACTGGCTTATATTTCAATTGCATTGCTATGAAATCAGGCATCTGAATGAATGGCCTAGACCAGTTTTGAAGATCAGATAGAAAGTTGTGGAGACCTATTATGTGTAGAACGATGGCAACTAGCTAATAGCCTATTTAAATAAATTTGACCTTTACCCTCTTTTAAGCTCACAGATGTAAAATGAATAACAGGTTAGTGATACAGGAATAGATAGCATATATAGCCTCTTAAATGACTTAATTAAAAAATGTCTCAAATAATTAAGTAACAGTGGTCAAGTTTGTTTAAACCTTCAAACAACTTCTTGTCAATAACCAAGCAGTCTTGGGTGATGATATTTTCATGTAGCTTAAAAGGAGCATGCAATGATAAAGACCATAAGTTTTGCTCAAATAAATAACCTCAACATGTATTTATGGTCCCAGGGTTTAAGTATTTAAAACCTTCAACTAACATCTGAATAACCAATGCAAGAGGCCTAGGTTGATGATATTTGGCCAGTAACATGCTGAAATTAATGGCCTTGACCCACTTTCAAGGTTACTTGGCTCATTTGTTCACCATTAAAAAATATCTTCTGAATAACCCAGAGTTCTAGATCTAGAGTCATGAAAGTTGTTGTATAGTGTTATGAAATAAAGTGTTTCGAAGTATAGGGTCAGAATAAAAGACATAGACCATCTTAGACATAGACCATCTTTAAAGGTACATAGTGATGTCGGGTAATAGAATCTTTCATCAAAGATCCATAATATGTAATTGTATTTAGCCTATTCAGATAAATCTGACCTTGAAACTCTTTGAATGTCGCAAATCTGAGATGAAAAATGGATGAGCAGAATAGGCCTATTGGGTCTCTTGCTGAAATATGCTCAGCAGGTAAAAGGGAATTGGCCCAATAAAATCAGTTAAATAAGAGTAGTCTTTTAATAAAGTTTGACCATATTTATTTTTGTACAGAATTGCACAAACGACTCCTAATTCAAACTACTGTAAACAGACCACCACCCCAAGCGCACATTTACACACGTATACTATACAGTTAGTTTAAAACAACAGATCAGGTGAATAACTAAACAATAGTCAGGTGATAATTATGACAGTAAACAAACAACTAAGATGTTTGAGAAGAATTGTCATTTCACTTAGAATAAACAGTATAGTCATTGAAGTGTAAGTGGTTCCTGTGGTGGTCCAACAGATGGGTTGACATGTATTATTCCTTTATTTCACAAGGAAAACTGGAAAAAGTTCAATTAAAAAATTAACCTAATGAAGCCAACAGCATGTTGTCAAAAAAAGGGCCGGTATTATTGTAGTTAGTACTTCGGCATTTAGAAGTTCAGGGATGTTATTATATAATTAAAGGCTTTTAATATTAATGAGGAATTAAAAACGATATGTGTGCTAACATAAACATGTTTAGTGCACAGTTGCGCTGATATTTAATGTTAATTTCGTGATTGAGTGTTGTCGTGAACATCTCTAAACAGACCCGTTTTCTAGAAAGAAAACCTGCCAGTGAACTTCAGCCAATCAGATGAGGATATCCTAGGGATAAAGGTTACATTGCCTATTAGCAGCACACTCATATGCATGCAATCAAAATGGTTTTGCTCAACTGCGATATATCGGTCAATATATTCACTGCTTCATTTGTAAATCAACAATATCGGCAGTTCAAAAAATGACTTTTTATTTGGTTCTGCACATAGTGTATTTATTATAAGTTTGGAAATTGGTTTTGTCAAATTTGTTCACTGAACTTGGTGAGAAGATCATTAAGTAGCCCTTCGTCAAATGTGGTGATGGTCGCAAATTTGGAGTCGCACAGCTATTTCAAATGTGGTTACTAAAATGTATCAAATGTGGTCGTTTAATGTAATTTTGTGGTCAGTATTTGGTATTCGCTGGTTGCGTTGGACAGATGGTCACTTAATACGATTAAATTACATAGTAAAAATGGTTGGGAGGAATACAAAGTGGTCGCTTAAAACAGATGGTCGTTTAATACAGATGGTCGCTTGAGCAGATTCGACTATATATATATATACTAGGTAATATAAGTAAAGAGTATGCAAGTTATTTAGGCTGAAAGGCCTCTTGTTTTATTGTCACATTTGATTTGTGATTTCATTTTCACTTATTTTTTCATTTTACAGTTTGTTTTGCCTGCCATTCTGCATATAATGAAACAACGCATAGGAAGGAACCCAAGTGAGATTAGTCCCTCTGTAAGTATTATGCATGTGTTATTACTATTTAAGTAATCTACAAGGTACATACAAATTTTGCTGGAAGGAAAGAAACAACATTATCTTTTAAACACCCCCCAACCCAACGCCCTGCCCCCATTCAATTTCATTTTTGACATGACAAAAGTCAAATTTCTTTGTTTACACTTTTCCTACTTTACATCTCAACAATGAATACTAACTTAACTCGGAAGGTGTTCACACCCTTGGGCTTCTTGTCTGTATTGAAGGTGCTGGTGATGTCTCCTACAAGGGAGTTAACACAACAAGTGGAAAGTGTTGTCAAAGAAATTGCTCCAGAATTCGGTATCAGAAGTGGCTGTGCATACGGAGGGGCCGCAGTTCGAAGACAGCTGAGTGACTTAAGAGGTAAATGTTTGATCACTTGACATTATAAAACTGCCTGTGAGTTTATATGATGGTATATGCTGGCTGTCTGTCAAGTGTAATATTTTTCATTAAACACCTTTTTTCGAAATAACTAAGAAGCTTAGGGGAAATATATTTGTCCAAGAGCCTAGGCCAAACAAATTTAATTACTTGGTTCTCAAAAGAGATCAGACAGGGAGGTAACATCAATAATGTTTACCTACAATATGTCCTGCAAACGGGGGATATAAATTCCACGAATTTGCTTGTTATTTATAAAAATTAATTAAGAAATAGTGTCCAGTTCAAAAAGTATTGGCTGTGACCTATGGTTTGAAAAGTTTGTTGGGGGCATATCTTTGATACTATTTTACCTGGAGTTGCCATAGTTGATATTCAAGTACATCTTGGAATGGCTGAGCTACAAGAAGTATGTCACTGGGATCTAGGTGTATATACCGTACAGAAAATACTGGAAAAAAAATACCTGTGGGGGATTATTGATTTCCTTGCAATACTTTGCCTTGGTATTGACATTCTGTTGTTGTTTGACTGTTTTTGTCTGAAGGAGCCGTTCGACTTCTTAAAAGTTTGATCAAAAAGATTCCTAGGTATGTCTTTATATTGAATCACATCAAGTATGGTCACTGGTTTTACTTAATAAAGTTATGTTATAGAGTAAATGTATAAGACAGGTGGATACGTGAGCAGATTCGACAATTTCCTATTACTCACAATTAAGATTAACAGGGCCAGATAATTCAAAACTTTCACACCTTATTAGATTTAGAAGCTCATTTTAATTGTTTTCGTTATATGCTGCTAAATGTATAACGGCTACTGTTGCCATGAGGAAACAAGCTTGACCATATCATGTAACTTATTTACTGATCGGGGAAAAAATGTTCAATGGTTAAGCTCACGTAATCTGCATACAGGTATATTAGCTGAAAAATGGTTCAAGCGAACACTGCAGCAGGTCTGGGCTGCTTGTTAAATTTTGCATAATAGTGCAGATATTTGTATTGCAACACCAGGAATATTTGTTGTTTTTCAGGTGCAGATATTTGTATTGCAACACCAGGAATATTTAATGTTTTTCAGGTGCAGATATTTGTATTGCAACACCAGGAAGATTGAATGACTATCTGACAAGAGGACAAATGAACCTTAATAGGTGTTCTTACGTGGTGCTTGATGAGGCTGACAGAATGCTGGACATGGGATTTGAGATTCAAATTAAACAGATTCTACGACACGTAAAGGTGAATAACCACAGCATGAAAAGACAAGTACCTTAGTCATTAGATGGAAACAGTAAAGACATACTTGCCAATTTTGTGAAATTTACATGGAGGGGGGGGGATTCTGCTCAAAACTAAAACATAGATAAAATGTGTGTATACACCCCCTAGAGACAACCCTGTAAAATGACATATTTTCAGTTATTCTTTAAGCCTTAGGCTGCTACGCACGGCATATGTCGTTTTGAAAAGTCGGGTCGTCAGTGCTACCCACGGCATATGTCGTTTCTCGGTCTGATCAGTAGCCAGGAAGTGTGAAGTCGGGTTGTTGCTATACCAAACCCAAACCTGTATAGTAGAAGGCTTCTGATTGGTTGTTTTGTCATTACTTTCGATATTCACGGCAGTGTACACTAGTAATAACCAAAGGTGTGCGAGAGAATTTCAAATCGAAAAAAAAACATCATAAAAATGCCGGACGCGTAGATTGAAGCGATGAATATGATGGTAAACATTTATTCTCCGTTGTCACCTTCGATGATAATAAAGGTTTTGAAGGGTTTGACACGGTTGATGTTGAAATACTTCGGTGTAACATAATAGGTTACTTTCCAATAAACAGCTTTGTGCCCTACGCAAACAGGAAAATATCGGCGGACTGAGGCGCACATGTCGTCTGCAGGTGAGGCCGAATTGAACATTGACATTGATGCGTTTTGAGCCAATTTATTTCTTTAAACTTTTTATCAGTGATTTAATCATAAACTAGACCCTAGCTAAGATATATCTATATGCCGACTGTGACAGTGAATGTATTGAATGGCGACCTGAAACCTGTAGAAAAGCACATGCAATTCTTTACGAAATACCTGACCTTTTTACCTGAGAATCTCCGTGTAAATATACAGCGTCTTATGTCAAAAATGAAGTTTATAATCTCTGTTATCATTTGCCAATCACAGAGACAACAACGAACAATTTTCATACAACTTTTTTTTACATATAACAAATATTTTCCAAGTTATGCACATTTGAAAAATCAAGTAAATAAATTTAAATTTCAATAATTAATTCAGCAGTGGTGTCCCTTTACATAGAAATCAATGTAGCAGCCTAAGGGTTAAGATGAAATCATAAGATCTTAGAATATAGGAACGGTTAAGCATATTCACTGGTTGAAAATACTCAGTTTAAGGGTCCAAAATCAGGAGTCCTTCCTAAATAAGGAGGATTGGCAAGTATGTAAAGATCCACATCCTCATAGAATATAAACTACTGCTATCCCATTGATCCTTGATACTGCGTTGGTTACACTCCCTTACATTTTTTGCACACTTGGAAAATGTCTAGCAAAATTGAAGGATTCTCAACTCGCCACCTTGACGATGAGACAAGATGACTAGTTTGATCCTTTGATGTACATCAAAAGATTCTCACGATTGATGGCATGGTGGTAAAATTGACTGGCTTTCAAGTAGGGTGTTGCTCCTGTGTAATCTTCAAAGGACAGGAATCAGCCTAGCAATTGGTCAGTTATTTTTACATCAGACCAATCAAATAGCTATCTTCGTGCCTTCAATTTTGCCATGACATATTCCAGTGTTGCAGAGAGCGTAATGAGCATAACCCCTAAAGTATTGAGGATGCTGCTATCTGTTTAAAGATGTAAACCAGTACCCATGCTATTATAAGGATTTGATTACGGCCACACCCCTGTCAAATTAGTTCCAGTGTTATAAAGGAGACCCTATAGTTTTATACTAATACAAATTGATCTTAAAGCAAATTTGCTTTCAAATCATTCTTTGTCCTTGGGACCTTGGAATCCATTGTTGTATAAATGAAAATATCATTGCACCTCCCCTAGAAGCTGAGGGGCAATGATCAAAGGGGGGGGGGGGAATAAGTAAGGGTACTAACACCTTAAAAACGTACTCCTTTTGGTTATTATTTCAATCAAAGTTGACCATGAAGCATACTTAGGATCTGAAAATCAAATGTAATAGCAAAGTACAAAATTCGAAAATATTTGTAATGCTTTTGTTAATGAGAATACATTGTTTCGATGATTTAGACATCCAGATGAGTGGTGCATGCAATCTTGAAAATCATTACATGTAAATATTGTAGGCAAGAGATCAATAAATCTTCTAGGATAGCTTAGGTATGGTACATGTGTGTGTGATGATTCTTTGTAGGATAGCTTAGGTATGGTATATGTGTGTGATGATTCTTTGTAGGATAGCTATAAGGTATGGTATATGTGTGTGATGATTCTTTGTAGGATAGCTTAGGTATGGTACATGTGTGTGTGATGATTCTTGTAGGATAGCTTAGGTATGGTACATGTGTGTGATGATTCTTTGTAGGATAGCTATAAGGTATGGTACATGTGTGTGTGATGATTCATGTAGGATAGCTATAAGGTATGGTACATGTGTGTGTGATGATTCATGTAGGATAGCTAAGGTATGGTATATGTGTGTGATGATTCTTTGTAGGATAGCTATAAGGTATGGTACATGTGTGTGTGATGATTCATGTAGGATAGCTAAGGTATGGTATATGTGTGTGATGATTCTTTGTAGGATAGCTATAAGGTATGGTACATGTGTGTGTGATGATTCATGTAGGATAGCTAAGGTATGGTATATGTGTGTGATGATTCTTTGTAGGATAGCTATAAGGTATGGTACATGTGTGTGTGATGATTCATGTAGGATAGCTAAGGTATGGTACATGTGTGTGATGATTCTTTGTAGGATAGCTATAAGGTATGGTACATGTGTGTGTGATGATTCATGTAGGATAGCTAAGGTATGGTATATGTGTGTGATGATTCTTTGTAGGATAGCTATAAGGTATGGTACATGTGTGTGATGATTCTTTGTAGGATAGCTATAAGGTATGGTACATGTGTGTGTGATCATTCATGTAGGATAGCTAAGGTATGGTATATGTGTGTGATGATTCTTTGTAGGATAGCTATAAGGTATGGTACATGTGTGTGATGATTCTTGTAGGATAGCTTAGGTATGGTACATGTGTGTGGTGATTCTTTTTAGGATAGCTATAAGGTATGGTACATGTGTGTGTGATGATTCATGTAGGATAGCTTAGGTATGGTACATGTGTGTGGTGATTCTTTTTAGGATAGCTAATAGCTATAAGGTATGGTACATGTGTGTGATCATTCTTTGTAGGATAGCTATAAGGTATGTTACATGTGTGTGATGATTCTTGTAGGGTAGCTTAGGTATGGTACATGTGTGTGGTGATTCTTTTTAGGATAGCTAATAGCTATAAGGTATGGTACATGTGTATGATGATTCTTTGTAGGATAGCTTAGGTATGGTACATATGTGTGTGATCATTCATGTAGGATAGCTAAGGTATGGTATATGTGTGTGATGATTCTTTGTAGGATAGCTATAAAGTATGGTACATGTGTGTGATGATTCTTTGTAGGATAGCTATAAGGTATGGTACATATGTGTGTGATCATTCATGTAGGATAGCTAAGGTATGGTATATGTGTGTGATGATTCTTTGTAGGATAGCTATAAGGTATGGTACATGTGTGTGATGATTCTTTGTAGGATAGCTATAAGGTATGGTACATGTGTGTGTGATCATTCTTTGTAGGATAGCTATAAGGTATGGTATATGTGTGTGATGATTCTTTGTAGGATAGCTATAAGGTATGGTACATGTGTGTGATGATTCTTTGTAGGATAGCTAAGGTATGGTATATGTGTGTGATGATTCTTTGTAGGATAGCTTAGGTATGGTACATGTGTGTGTGATCATTCATGTAGGATAGCTAAGGTATGGTACATGTGTGCGTGATCATTTTTTGTAGGATAGCTATAAGGTATGGTACATGTGTGTGATGATTCTTTGTAGGATAGCTATAAGGTATGGTACATGTGTGTGTGATCATTCTTTGTAGGATAGCTATAAGGTATGGTACATGTGTATGATGATTCTTTGTAGGATAGCTATAAGGTATGGTACATGTGTGTGTGATGATTCATGTAGGATAGCTATAAGGTATGGTATATATGTGTGTGTGATCATTCTTTGTAGGATAGCTTAGGTATGGTACATGTGTGTGATGATTCTTGTAGGATAGCTAAGGTATGGTACATGTGGCTAGCTTAAAGGCTAACAAAACTTGCACATATTTTATTAGCATTCTGCTATCTAAATGGTCAATGGTTTCTGCACAATAATTTAGTCAAATATTGCAGTAAGCTGATGAGACTTGGCAAACATATACACTGCAAGTAATTAATGAACAATAGAAATATTTATTGTTTTAATGTTGTTACGTTCAATTTCAATTTTCATGGTTTGAAATACATGTATATACAATGGGAGATAGACAATTCTTTATGAAATCAACTTTTTAAATGTCATAAAAAGGATATGTGAAATAGATATATTCCTTCAGATTAAGTTGGACAGAAATAGTTCTCAACTTCATATTAATTTTCATACATTAAGATACATTAATGCATCAGAAAGTATTTAAGTATGTCAGATTGGCATGGAATGGGCATATATATATTGGTTCGCCTTGCTGTACCCTTGTTGAGATATGAAAGTATATATGTTATACTTTTACTTTGATTAAACTTGTTGTGTAAGGAATTGAAAAAAAGTCACTATATTACAAAACTGCAACGCTGTCCCTGAATAATACTGTCATTTTTTGTTCGTAGCCTAACCGACAAATGCTGATGTGGAGTGCCACATGGCCAAGAGAAATTCAAGCTTTGGCCAAATCATACCTCACTGATCCTGTACACATACGTGTTGGAAGTATGGAACTGATGACCAACCCAGACATAACAGAAGAGTTTATTAAGACAGCTAATCATAGGAAATTTGAATCGTAAGTTAGTTCCAGGCAGTCCTCCTCTTTCCATTAAGTGAAACCAACTACAATTTACTTGGAAATTTTCGTCACAGTTTACCTTTCACCTTTTTCTGAGGGCAAAATTATTATTAGAGCAAACATTAGTAAGCAACATTTTATGCATAGCGATTTAATGTATAGGGTGAAATTAACACCGGGCAAAAACCAGCGTAGGGCGAAGGTTTCCCGATATTCACGGTAGTGTATATAAACATGTTGTGCATTTGAGCAAAGCCAAGTCTTTTGCAATCCATGTTTATGTACTTACCTGGCCAGGAACTATCAGGCCAATTTTTTTTCCAGTAAATACGACTACAACACTTTTAAGATAGAGTGAAGTTAAAAAAACATGTGGGGATATATAGTATTCATCTTGTTCATCCATCTATCTCTCCATCTGGATGTATTTTCAAATTATGAGGTCTTGAATTTTGATTTCCAGATTATTCCTGTAAAGCTCTTGTTGGATTTTATTGTGGCATCAAATGACCTGTTAGCCAACTTCCTTACCTTTATTATTAGCTCACCTGGTCCTTCTGTGGTCCGTCCGTCAACTTTTTCTTTTGAAAGACTTATTCTGAAGAACTGGAGGACCTAGGGTCATGATATTTGCTCAGCTTTGGCTGTCGCCCATGCTAGGATTGTAGAGTAGTTTCTCCTCTCGTGCATCTGGCCTGCAGTTGAGTTTGGCAGATTTGTCTGAGGTTAGGTCCTCAGACTACGCCGTTCACAATGCAAAGCTTGAAAGTCAACCAGTTAAGCTGGAAAGTCATGAGCTTCGGCAATGGCCAGGACCGGCGACTGACCAGGTGGTGTTTCCTGCCAAGGAACACCACAATCTGGAGAAAATTCTGCTGCTTTCTCTCCAGGTAGTCTCATATTTCGATTTACTGACAGTGACCCTCGACTGTTTATCGGTAGTGCCAATGGGGAAGTCGGAGGTAACTCCAAACTTTTAGATAACTTTTTTCAGTTAACCTGGTCTTATGATCTGAGTATTACGCTCCTTTTTTAGCCACCAGTGTTAGTATTTTTTTAAACAAATTGCAGTTTCTGGTGTTACAGGAACTCTCTGTTATGACTAAAGTTCTTTTTTGTGCTGTGAGAATTTAAGAATTTTGAAAATGTGTTTCAGTTTATGCAAACTACTGATGAATATTGCTACCAACTACCCTGATGGATGTAAGACGTTGGTTTTTGTTCAAACAAAGAGAACAGCAAACGAACTCTCATCTCAGCTTATGGCGAAAGGGTAAGTTACAAAAGTTGGCTTGTGGAAGTGGTTTATTTATGAAATAGGTGAGTAATACAGGCTTTTTGGTCATCTTGTTTTTTGATAAAACTGAAAAAATATTTCGAGAATGATTGCTGTATTTCTTGTAAGGGTTGCTTCAATGAGATCTTTGACCTGAACAGATTACAAAAAAGCAAATTCTTTCTTTCAGCATAATTACTTTATATCTTTTTCAGAATTCCTTCATATGCTCTGCACGGGGATAAAAGTCAAGGTGAACGTGATCAAATTATGGACTGTAAGTGAACTACAGCGATATCAAATGAAGTTGGTATTTTAAAAACAGATTCATGCATTTAGTTACCATATTCAATATTAGAATATTGTCACTGCTACAGAAACACTTTCTCTTGGATTACTGTCTAAAATAATTGTTGTCAATGAACTATTGAACATTTTAGCAGGGCCAGGTGAGCTAAAATGTTCACAAAGTCCATTAGGTACCTGGGATGGAGTGTTTTAACGTTTTATGTCACCTGAGACAAAGTCTCAAGTGACCTATTGCGATCGCCTTTTGTCCGTCGTCGTCGTCGTGCGTCTGTAAACAATTTACATTTTCGACTTCTTCTCCGAAACCCCTGAACCAATTTCAATGAAATTTTGCAGAAACCTTCCATGGCCAAAGGTCAACAAAAGTAGTTGACAATTTGGTCCCCGGCCCCCAGGGGCCTGAGTGGCGCAGCCAAAAAGGGTCAAATTGACTAAAATATCAAAAATCTTCTCAAGTCCCAGATATGGTAGAATCAAACGCTCTTCATAGATGGAAGGGTCTTAAGGTGCTCTAACAAAAAATTGTGAATTTCATGACCTTTGGGTCTCACGTTTCCCCCTGGGGAGGGTTAAACTTTACTATAGTTTATATAGGGAAATCACATTTAATTCAATTTAGGTTAGCATTATCAGTATTGGGTAGCAGTTTGATGGTATGCACATATGAGCCCTGACTGACCCCCTGGGGCTGATGGGAGGGGCCAAAAAGGGTTGAATTGACTGGAATTTCAAAAATCTTCTTCTCAAGACCCAGATATGGTAGAATCAAACACTCTTCATAGATGGAAGGGTCTTAAGGTGCTCTAACAAAAAATTGTGAATTTCATGACCTTTGGGTCTCACGTTTCCCCCTTGGGAGGGTTAAACTTTACTATAGTTTATATAGGGAAATCACATTTTGGACCAACATTTGTTTAATTTCCATTGGAAGTAATTAAATTTAGGTTAGCATTATCAGTATTGGGAAGCAGTTTGACGGTATGCACATATGAGCCCTGACTGACCCCCTGGGGCTGATGGGAGGGGCCAAAAAGGGTTGAATTGACTGGAATTTCAAAAATCTTCTTCTCAAGACCCAGATATGGTAGAATCAAACACTCTTATTTGTAACCAAAATTTATTATGGTTTATAATGGCAAATGATACTTTGAATATTACATGTTAATAACTTGATTGGAATTATAACCCTGAGTTGACAGTTTAATACTTTAAAATTTTTGAGCCAGTCCCGAAGGGCTGTAGGGTGGGGCCCAAAGGAGTCAGTGTGCTAAAATTTCTTCATTTTCCTTGTTTAGATTCAGAGGTGCTAGTTTCAAATACTTTTTAGTCTTTAATCTGTATGCTAGATATTGAATAAGGTGGTTTCCTTTTTTTTTGTCACTGAATAATATTTCTGTTCGTGTTAAAAACAAAATCAACTCTCTGTATGAATATATCAGGTGACCGTTAAGGCCCATGGGCCTCTTGTTTTCATTAAAATGACCTTGACCTAGTTTCAAGTTCATTTGGGTCAAATATGTTAAAAACTTCAAACAACGATATCCTAAAAAGCATTTGGTCTAGAGTCATGATACTTGGGTATGTTATGTAGGACAGTTGTGAATCGTTTTCTTTATTTCAGTAATGAGGTTGAATGTCAACTTTAAGTGCTAGCCGGAATCAAAGGTCAATGTGGGTTAAAAAGCTTTAAAATTAAGATTTGAAATTTCAAACAACAATGTCTTAAGCGTTTAAGAGATATTAAAATGTCTTGTGTTCTAGTTACCAAATTTATGTCTGAAGTTACCTATATGTCAGTTTCATGTAACCAAAGAAATAGGTGAGCGTTACAGGCCATCTGGGCCTTTTGTTTACTTCTTCTTAAATATCGGTGAAGCTTTTGACCCCAACCTTGGTACAGATGTTTGTAATGATGTCCTAACCAAGTGTCAACGTTTTACTTGAAGGTATCAACAAGTTCAACTGTAATTATATTTACCATCATCACGGTTGTGAAATGATTAAGGTCTTTTTTTAACAGAAGTATAAAAATCATGTATTGGCATGTGTTTTAAATTTATAATTATAATTGTTTTGAAATTTGAAATTTTCAAATAAAAAGAAAACTGCTTGGATCCTACTCACAATCTTTACATTTTAAAGCATATACTTTACCAATTTGGCTATTCATGAATTATGATACAAAGCATCAAAATCAACATCTAATTTTATGAGCCGCAAAGCCTGTAAATAAATTGATGGGGGAATTAACCTTACGCCAGGAAACTACTCCAAGTGAATCTCATTAGAATTCATGTTCATTTTCATTTTTTAAGTTCACTTAGTCCTTTGGTAGTTTGGAAGTATTAGTAAATCTTGAAAATATTTTCTTTCTTTAAGAATGTAGGGATTTAAACCAAATTTGGATTAGAGGAATCCTTGAGTCTCAGGGACCCCGTCTTTTGTAACTAGAGAATTTGAATCCTCTGGGTGCAGAGGGGTGGGGCCAAATTCTCCTTCTGTAGGAATGAAGGGATTATAACTTAATTTGATACAGTGCCAAGAGGAATCAATTTGTGTAAATGGAGGGTGTGGTCCCCCTGGTGGCAGAGGGGGAATGGCTCAATAAGGAGGTAGAGAAGTAAATCTACATGTTTTTTGTTTCATACAGAAGAAGGAATAAAGTTATATAAAATATAAACTTTATTTATTTTACAACAATTATGAGACAATTTATTTCAACTTATATTAATCACTCTTGTTTGCCCGAATGTTAGCGCGCCGGGGGTCTTAATGTGGGAGGAAACAGAGTACCTTGGTAAAACCCACGTAGTCGGGCAGGTAACCCTATAACTTTTCATGTCCAATCGGGTAATCGAACCCCGGTCACCTTGGTGGAAGGCAAGTGCGCTATCCACTGCATCACCACCCAAAAATTAAGAAAGTTACTGGGAGACCGAAACAATATTTGGAAATATTTGCAGTATAATATTTCATGAAAATAATTTGCCATGATTGCTTAGATATCCAGGTGATCATAATGGCCCTCTTGACATCTTGTTCCTTTACTGGCTAAACATATTTTCCCTATTAAATTATATGATAAATTTCATAATTGTGTCTATCCTTCGATTGAAGGAAGACATATTGTATCTGTACTGGTTCTTCCAATCACAACTTGTCTGGGCCATCAACTTTAAACGATTCAAGATATCTTGATGAAACCTGAGATATGCCTGCATCTCCCACAGAAGGTGTGCAGTGCACTGGAATTAGGTCACTGACCTTCATCTCAAGGTCAAATAAATGCAACATTTTCAGTAAATTCTTGTTTGGGCCATCAACTTTAAACCATTAAAGATATCTTGATGAAACCTGAGGTATGCCTGCATCACCCACTGAACGTGTGTAGTGAATTCCATGGAATAAGGTCTGGTGACCCACTCTATATAGAGTTATGGCCCTTTGTTTATTTTTAATACGGAAGTTTGTCCGGAGCATAAGTTCCATGTTGTTCCACCTAGGTTGACCAAACTTACCATATTTATGTATCTTGGGAAGGCAGAATCTCCCGCACTGAAATCAGGTTATGTGCCCCCTTACAAACAGAGTTATGGCCCTTTGTTTATTTCTTATATCTAAGTTTGTCCACGGCATAACTTTGTTTATTTTTAATACAAAAGTTTGTCCATGGCATAACTTCAATGTTCTTTCACCTACGTTGAACAAAGTTCCTATAGTTATGTATCTTGGGAAGTAGCAGTGTCGCATTATAAATTTGGGTCTCGTGTCCCACTATATAAAGAGATAGGGCCCTTTGTTAATGTTTTATACCGCAGTTTGTCTATTGGCTAATAAGAGAAGACATGTAACAAAAACAGGTTTCTAGTTATTAGTGAAAGGATGTTATGCTACAAAGCCATAAAAATATCGCTTCTGCAAACCCAATCTCCTTTATTGGAAACACAAATTTCCCTACATTCTTAAATTATTGAAAACCAGTATGTATGAGATATATCAATATGACTTAACACATTATATCACCAATACAAAAAGTATTTTATTATATTTTGACAGGTTTTGATTATAAGATATAATTATAATGACTAATGATTGTATATTGGGTTTTGTGTACAGTGTTCAGGAAAAAGAAGAAAATATTGCTGATTGCCACGGACATTGCATCTAGAGGCCTAGGTGAGAGGTTCATGACCAATATGATACAAATTGTGATTTTATATTGCCAATATGACATTTAAAAGCATTGTTAATCCATAATAATCATGTTGCTTGTTGACTGTATTGGTGCTGTTTAAGCATTGAACTGTTTTTGTATGGTATTTATGATCTATTTGAATGACACAGCTTTGCAAGCAAACCATTCATAATGCACTAGTGTTTATGTTGTTTGCTTGCAAAGCTGTGTCATTCAAATAGATCATTAATACCATACAAAAACAGTTCAATGCTTATATTTACGTTTTCTCTGCCTCTTATGTTCTTTTTTAACTTATAATTTATATTTAAAATTACAAATGCCAGCCTTATCGACAGTCCACACAATTTCGTTCAATAGTTTGAACAGCGTATTGTCGCATGCTGATTGGCAAACAAAGTAGTACTTTGAAATTTTAACAAACGCTTATTTTATTCCACAGTTCAGTATCAATACAATTGCATATGATATGTATATAGGGTGATTTAAGTTTATCAATAGAACTCTGAGCTGAAAGTTAGATTTTAAATTGTTTCGATTTTCCCCCGGAACAAATTTCGCGCATGGACAAATACAGTTAACACTGTAAATCCGACCTTGCCCTCCACGAGGGAGTTATTTTTGGAAGTTTATTCGAACTTTTCTCTTTGCTCATTTTGTGAAGAATCCAGGCGTGAATGTATTTGTTGATTGTATGGGAACCTGACAACAGTCGGTAGATTCTGTAAGATCCTCGTTTGCTATGCAAATGATGCACTAAAAGTGGAACAGCGTACATGTCTGTATATTGTTATCATGATAATTGTTGACTTTTTGTTACGTTCTGTATTAGTATATAATTATTGTAATCATATATAATTTTTTGTTGCAGATGTTGTAGACATTTCGAATGTCATTAACTATGACATGTCAAGTAGTGGGGAAAGCTATGTTCACCGAGTAGGAAGGACTGCCAGAGGTGGCAGAAAAGGCAAATCCTTCTCCTTCATAACAGATAAAGATTATAGTGTTCTGCAAGACCTGCAAAAAATGTATAAAAGACAAAACAAACCTGTTCCAGACCAAATATTGGATATATTAGGCATGTCTACATCATGTAAGTGGAAATGTGATACTCTAAGGTAACCCCAAAACAAGAATGAATAAGGACCAACATAATACATAGAGGTGAAACTGTATAGCTTGAAATGTCTGATTAATTATAAACAGAGAAAAGACTTCTTCTTCAAAACCACTGAACTGTTTTCAGTAAAGTTTTACAGGAAGGTTTCATAGTCAAAGGCAAACCAAAATTGTGAATTATATGGATCTGAACACACACACACACACACACACCCCAAGAATGTAAACTTGGTTGGAGTTATCATCAAGTGATGGCAGTTTTTAATGGCATGAAAATCAAAACCCTGACTTGCCTGAAGGGTGGTGCCAAATGTGTCATATTGGATAATGTTTCAATAGTCTCTTCCCAAGACCCAGATTTTCTGAATTCATTTTCATTGATGGAAAGAACCTTAAATGCTTAATAAAATTTGTAAATTTCATTTTCTGGGGTCCCCCAATTCAATCCGTCATCAATAGGTGTCAATAGAAGTTTGTTGTTGCTCTTTCTCAGAAAATGAATTGCTGGTCATCCTCAAATTTTATTATTTGGTTTTTCTATCCATTAATTGCTTCATCATAAGATTGCCAGAAATCAGATATAAATATCATGGTCAGTATATTTACTGTCATATCTACAAAATGGTATGGTATGCATATTTCTGAAGCCAGCTCTTAAAGAGTTATCCTAGTGACAATAGGTATTTGGACATTGGATAGTGTTAATTTTCTTCTGCAAGATTGATAAGCTATTTTTAGCTCGCTTATTCGAAGATTAGGAGGGCTAACTTAGTCACCCCGGCATCAGCATCCCTCTTCACTCAGGTTTTTGGGCTCATCCGTCGTCCTTGGGGGAAGAGGAACCAATTTTGTATAAATGGTGGGTCTGACCCCCCAGGGGCCTGAGGGACAGGGCCCAATAGGGGAAATATAGCAAATTCTTCTTTAAAATCCTTCTTCTTCTGTAGGAATGAAAGGATTTGTTCCATATTTGGTCAGAAGCATCCTTTGGGGAAGAGGAACAAAATTTGTATAAATGGTGGGTCTGGCCCTCCTTGGGGCAGAGGGGCGGGGCCCAAAAGGGGAACTATAGCAAATTCTTTAAAATCCTTCTTCGACCATCGGGATTAAGGGATTTTATCCTTATTTAGTTTTGAGCATCCTTGGGCCAAGGGGGCTCAATTTTGTATAATTGGTGGGTATGACCCCCCTAGGGACATAGGGGTGGGACTCTGTTTGAAGTTTGTTCTGGAATGTTAGCAATGATCTGAACCATATTTTAGGGGTCAAACACAGCTTAGTTTGACTTGGTTTAAAGTTTTTGGGCAAGTGTTGATGTGCAGTGTTGGATCACGACCATCAATATACATGTATATGGTGTTAATTATTTCACATTGTCTGGTCATCTCTTCTTTGCAATGTGCAACATGTTAAGGAACAGCAAAACCTCATGTTATTGCCACAATTTGTTCAAAGAAATGTTTGCATTATAAAGGGGTTTGGTAATAAATTGAGCGAAACATATAAAGGAATTCTTAAGAAAGGAGTTAGGGATCTGTAAATTCGTTGTCAGTAAGTGAGGTGGCAAATGATATCATTATACATGTATCATTATAATGACATTTTACTGTTCATGTGTTTCTATCTTATAATAACATATATCACCAATAGCCAAGCTGTGCTACTCTCCAACATCTCTTGTTATGTTGTTCTTGTTGGTTTTTTCAGACAGTGGAAATAGGTTTGGCCAGTCAAGGCAATTTGGATCAACTCCAAAGTTCATTGACCCAAAGTGGAGGGAATAGACTGGTATGGCCGCTGTCACTTCACCACGGAAGGAGAAGAAGAACGGAACTTGCACTATGATGCTGGTCATAACAGTCTTGTTATCACAAGAGCTAATTAGATCTTTTTGAAAGGATGATCACAGCCTTTGACTTACAGTTGACATGATGTAACTTTTGTATATAGCAAATGTTCTTTTTGTGAAAAGTAGTTTCCATTGCTGTGTTACTGATTCTGTAGGTAGAGCTGCCAAGTTGTTCAGATAACAGTCATACTACAGGGACATTGCATGTTGACAATATCTTGGGGCAATTCTGTGATCTCATTTTTGATTCCAAGAAATGACTGAATAGATTTTAAAGCAATGTGACTCGATATCATTCTTTTAAGATTTCTCTCATATGGTGTATAACTTCTTTTTTGGGATGATAATCATATGCAAGAGAACTTTTAATGTGTTAAAAGAACACTAAACTTGAGCACAATTTTCTTGTAATGCAGATGTTGCTCATGATGCCTCAGTTTGTTCTAAAAAAAAAAAGATTGTATTCCACAATATCTGAGAAAAATACACAGCGGAAGTTTCATATGAAACAATATCCCACGAGTCCAGAGACATTTTTTGTACTTAAATTTCAATATCATTCAATCTTCATGGTTATTGTGAAGGGGAAATTATAGCAATGTGGAAATGCTGGATTTTTTGGTTTGAGTAAATGATTAATATAGATTTACAGATATATGAAATATATAGCATTAAAGTTCAGAACCATTGCCATTGTGAAAATTTCCACATTCACAGTAATTAGAATGTGTAGCAAAGTTACAGTAATACAATCCCATTATCACAGTTTATTGTATTGCATTATTGAAAAATGTATAATAATGTTTGTTCTTGTGACAGAATTTAGGACTTTTTACTGTTCCTATTAATATTAAATGTGGTTATTATTCCAAGTATAAAAAGTGTTTTTCATTTTCATTACGTTTCATTTTGACCAAATGTAGACAGTTTGGATATAGGACTTCAGAAGTCTCCTACTAGACATTGACTGGGCCTTTTATTTAGTGTTTGTAGGTCTTGATTATTTTTATAGGAGCAGGGCCAGGCATATATCCACACATTACATTTAACCTTTGAGTTTTATGTCTACTATTCAGCAATATGTATTGATAAGTTTCAATGCTATATTTATTTTCCTTTTGCACTAAAAGCCTTTATGTATTTTATGTAAATGGCTCATTAAGTTATTGTACATGTACAATAAATTACGGTAAATAATGAATGGTCATTTTTGTATAATCAACTTGATCTAATAGACATTCCCAATTTCAGGTAGGTTGATTAGCTAGGTACTTAGGCTTGGATTACAGATAAATTGGGGGTCATCTCAAACTTTGATTACAGATAAATTGGTGGTCATCTCAAACACTTTTTCACTGTATAAGATATTTTTTCTCTTAAATCAAACATTTGACAATTTTGAGTTACGGTAGTAAACCCCCAATATATCTCTAGTCGGTGGATGAAGGTACTCCCTAAAGTTTGGGAATAATAGTACATTATTTTGAAAGGTCATTCCTTAGTCATCATATAGGACTGATAATGAAATATTAGTCTTGTACCGTATAATATAAGAACAAATCATCACTGGCGATTTCTGTAACATTATTTAAGACTAGTAAGAGTTAGACCATAGTTCTACCTTCAACTTAAACTGATGATCATGAAGAGTGGACATTTGGGTACACTAACATTAATACATTTGCATAACATTTTTCATCATTTTTTTGTTGTCGATTTTTATGTGATGTTCGGAACAACATTTTTAATATTATGTAAATATTTCATGTGATGGCTGGTTGTAGATCCTGGCAATATAATAGACTTGAATCATCTATAAATTGGAGCTGTTTCTATTCAGCTGGCTTGGTATCTGCCATTGTACAACTTGTAATGATTTGAATTGACAATATAATAAAGAGTGATAATTCATTGAATGACTTGTTGGGTTTTGTTAGTTCACCTGGCTTGAAGGGCCAAGTGAGCTATATTGTGATCCGTTGATGTCTATCGTCCGTCCATGGACTTTTCTTTGGACCTCTTCTTATAAAGATCCACAAGGCCCTTAAGTACAACCAAACTTGGATGGAAATATCCCTAGATGATGAAGAGGATTCAGATTTGCAAAGAATGACTGGCCCCTTTCATTTGTAGAGCCCAAAATGGTACAAAAATATATATGTAGCACCCTTAGTAATTGTTCTACAAAATTTGTGAAGAAAAACAAACCTGTTTATACAAGGCCAGTAGGGGGCTCTATGCAATGCATTGTGCAGAACTTAATAGGAGTGCTACACAGTTTTAAAGGTCTTGGGCATCAAATCTGTTAAAACACGCAAACAGCATTTTCAGAGAGGATACATAACCTGTAGTTTACTGGCATGAAGTATTACAAATTTGTTGAACAGAAACTACCTTTACCTTTATATTGTAGGTCACAGGATTCAAATCTGTTAAAACATTAAAATGTCTTTTGAAGAAACCTGGCTATAATCATGAAATCTTAATTGTAGCTTGCTGGCAATTAGTGCTACAAGGTTTTATTGAATGAATTGTCTCGACATATATTCAAGGTCCCAAATGTCAAATACATCATGTACATGTATATCAAAATACCCTAACAGCTTCTGAAGAACCAAAACCCCTTGACTCAAGTTATATGGTTAGTATTTTGCTGGCATGGAATACTAAAAAAGTTGGATGAAGTAAATCACCTTGACCTATATATTCTAGGTAACATGGGTCAAACCAGTTAAAATACCAGCTTCTGATGAAGAAAAAGAGGCGTAGAATCATGATAGCATGTTGCTTGTTAGCATGGAATATTACAATTTCTTAAAGAGATACAGCCTTGACCTATTCAAGATCATAAGGGTCAAATCTGTTAGAACTAGAAAATGTCTGGAGACAAAAAATGTTCCCACCGCCATGTGAACTGACCTTTGTATAAACTTTGATCAAAATCCATCAGAAAAGTTGGTATTCTCATACTTGAAATCTGTATAAACTTCTGAAAATCTGTTAACTAGGTGACGACACTGTATAAGTTCATGAGCAATGGTGATCTTGACTTGGAATCCTAATACATTGAGATGTCTGAACTATTCTCATTCTTGACATTTGTATAAAGTTTGATTAAAATCTGTCGATGAATGAAGTCGCTAGAGTTTTAACATTGAATTGCAACGGGACGGAACAGACATGGGCAAAACTATATGCCCCCCAATTTTATGGCTGGGGCATAACAAACAGCGAATTCTTTAAAAGATCCAAAAGGCCTTGGTGTGTTGCCAGGACCTTGCTGATATGGAGTGCTATAAAGGTGGGGAAAAGAAAATACCCTAAACTTTTATTCAAGCAAGACACATGGGCCACATCTGTTAAAACTCTAAAACATTGTCTTCTGAAGAACCAAAAACATTAGAGTCTTGATAAGTTACCAGTAACTTGCTGGCATTGAGTTCAACAGAATTTGAAAAGAAGAATGTCCACAATGTCCTGGATCACAAGAAAGAACAAGCAAATTCGTGGAATTTATATCCCCCGCTTTCAGAACATATTGTAGGTAAACATTACTGAGGTTAGGTTTAAACATGGGAGTATCGTGTTATTAAGACCTAATGTATAGCTTGAAACTCGAAGAAAAAACACCCTTATCTAATATTTGCTAGAGTTATTAAGCAGAAACTGCAGATAACGACTCTGCCAAATGGAGTCCGATTAAAGTGGTTGTCAAACTTGGCCAAGCCCTTCAGGCATTTAACCCTGTGACCAAGTTTGAAGAAAATCAGTTAACATTTGTTGAAGTAATTGCACGGATAAGAAGTGCGGCAGATAATGATGTTTTTCGTTATTCAAGGGGCCATTACTCCACCAAATGGGGTCCACTGAAAGTGGTCATCAAACTTGGCCGAGCCCTTTAGGTATTTAACCCTGGTACCAAGTTAGAAGAAAATCGGTTAACATTTGTTGAAGTAATTGCACAGAAAAGAAGCGCGGCAGATAATGACGTTTTTCTTTATTTAAGGGGCCATTACTATGCCAAATGGGGTCCGCTGAAAGGTCATCAAACTTGGCCAAGCCCTCCAGGCATTTAACCCTGGTACCAAGTGAGAAGAAAATCGGTTAACATTTGTTGTAGTTATTGCACGGAAAGGAAACGCAGCAGATAATGATGTTTTTAACGAACTTGGCCAAGCCCTTTAGGTATTTAACCCTGTGACCAAGTTTAAAGAAAATCGGTTAACATTTGATGTAGTTTAGCACGGAAATGAAGCGCTGCAGATAATGACATTTTTCGTTATTCAAGGAGCCATAACTCCGCTAAATGGGATTTGCTGAAAGTGGTCATCAAACTTGGCTGAGCCCTTTAGGTATTTAACCCTGTGACCAAGTTTGAAGAAAATCGGTTAACATTTGTTGAAGTTATTGTACGGAAACTAACCGCGGCAATAATGACGTTTTTCATTATTCAAGGGGCCATAACTCTGCCAAATGGGGTCCACTGAAGTTATTGCTCGGAAACGAAGCGTGGCAGACAGACAGACAGACCCAAATTAATATAGCCCGTTTCGGTGAAAGAGGGGGATAACAATTGCAAAGAGACCTGGTCATGATACATAACATGTGGCTTGCTGGCAAAGAGTGCTAAAACGATGGTCGACATCTGGATAACTACAACAATTGTGCTTTATCATTAATTTATCTGTTATTGGAATATCAGTTCAATTAATATTGTATCAAATACTACATGGATCAGCTTATTAATATTATCAAAAATATAATAATTAAGAAAATTAAAAAGTCAAAAAATCATATATGAAATATTTTACAGGTAGATTCACTTGTTGAAACTCTAGACACTTTTTCGGAAAAAGACTATAACCCTATCAAAACAAGTTGTCCTACAGGTAAATTAAAAATGTATCCGTTCAGGGAATCGGACCATTAATCTACGTCCTGGATATTAAATTTAGAAAGTGGCCGAAGGTCATTCATTGAATAATCTTGATAGCCCTTCATCAAATTTGAACCCTGTGACTTTGAATATGAGTAAGCTCATTTATTTGGACAAATTTGATGGCTCTTCATTTCAGCATGCTAATGGCAAAACATCATTACCTATGGCCTCTAGATAATTTGGAAGAAGTCGTTTAGTACAAAGAGTTCATGGGAGACACGGTACCATGGCATAATCTCACATAGCCCTTCAGAACTGGTGAGCTAAAAATCAAAGAAGACAAAACATGGTATGGAGATGTACTGTACTTTATAGATTCTGTCATTTTACAAGTGTTTATACATGATTATAGCCTTTATCCAGGTATAGAAAAGTAAGATGATTTGTCGAAACATTCTCTTCATCAATAAGGAAACACAATCCAGAGCAAAAAAGTTATGATGATTGTTTTTTTAATAAATAGTTTTACTTAATCACTTAAATGGTTAACGTTGTCCATCAGAAATGAGTTGTTTATACTCGGTCCATATTATATTTCACCAGCTGCAAGTTCTATGTAATCTGGAGATATTCATGGGTGTTGTCTTCATCCAAGTGTAAAAAGGTTCTAATAATTATCACCACAAGAGTAAGTCCACTTCAGCACTTAAATGGGTTGTCCATCAGGAATAGGTTCTTTATCCTCAGCCTATTTCACCAGCTTCAAGTTCTTCGTAATCTGGAAATTGAAGGCATGTCCAATTATATTAGGACTATCGAACCCTTTTATCCCTAGGTAACTTGGGTAGACTCTACCATACAGTGTCTAGGATAGGACAATTCCACCCAAGGTGGGGTTTTTTAATTTAAAATTTAAAAATCCAGATGGTTGAATTTTCCTATCCTCTACCCCAAGTATGAAAGAATATTTTCTCTCATTCCAATCAACAGAATTAGCCCAAAAACAACAAAAAGATGTCAAAATTTCAGCACCATGGCATCAAAATGTTCTTGATTTCATGATATTGTGTCATTGTTGTCCAATCATGATATCAAGCAAGTGAAATGGGGTTAAGATAGAAATTTATTACACCCCATTCTTACCTTGGATAGCCGTGATATCCGTACGCACAGGAATGCCACAAACAGCTGTTCATATTTTGAAAGTACATTTGGTTTTGTTCAAGTTTCAAGAGTGTCAAAATAACTAACAATCTACAAAAATACATTCCATACAAGAAATGTTAAAGTTGTGCTGTCACAACTTTTTGGAGACTTGAGTGATTAGAACCAACAAGAACAGCAAGTACACTTTCTGACATACAATAAATTGTTGTTCTCATTAACGATTTTGGTGATTCAACAGAAACGTCACCTGCTGTGTTGATTTTTATGTTCAAATAGAAATGTTCTATGCAAAATCAACATACCAGCAAACATTGCAATTTCATCATCAAAATCAACATATCGGTGAACATCTCTACAGAATCTTTAAATCAATACAGAAGTGAACATTTTTATAGATCATCAAATCAATATAGCAGTGAACATCTCTACATAATCCTAACAGTGAACATAACCTTTGAATATTTTTACTGAATTATCAAAATCAATACTACCATTGAACCTTCAAATATCAACACACACCGAGCGATCTCAAAAACACTGCACAGAAATTTCTTTTAAAAAAGCATTAAAATGACTCAGAGCAAAATCAAAGAGTTTGATTAATGCAAGTAGTTGATACAGTGTTAAAGATTAATGGATAATAAATCTAGAGTCACTTAAGATATGTTCAAATTTATTTTCAAGTTATTATTAAGTCAACTCAGTATAAATAATTGTTACAATAGTTATGGTAGAAGACAGCAGTGTGTCAGTGACATTATATACTGACCTCCTCAAACTTGTGGATCTGTCTGATGAAGAAATCTCCATAACGACGAGCGACTTTAGTGTCAGCGATGTGAATCATGTCCTAGAAGCACAAAACACAGATGTAAGGAATACTACTATGTGCCAGAAGCACAAAGCAAAGGGGGAAAATACTGTGTGGTTTATGTTCTTTAAGTATAAGAGATAATGGCCACTGATGTTTTTGAAAAAGGTTACCCATGGTTTTTTCTCTGGGAACTCTGTCTTCCTCTAACACTATAACCGTCTTCCGTGCATCTTCAAAATATTAAACCTAATTGGGCCTATCGATCAGGCACCATATATCAAGTCCACCTAAACACTTTGTCACATACAAGTACCCCATATCCTTTTTTTTTTTACTGGGCGTCCAATCTCGTTACAATTATTTCCGAACATACTATAAACATGGGTTTTGTATGGCTTTGGCATCTAATCCTGTCACAATTAGTGATGAACTTACTTGGAAAATGGATTTTGTATGGCTGTATTAAAATGGATTTTGTATGGCTGTATTTTTTAAGAAAATGTTCTCCAAAAGTACCCAGAATGCCTATTGAATCAAATACTGTGCTCATATTATAAGATTCTTGTATATTTTATATTTAATTCACATTTACAAGGATCTACTTTGTGTCTAAAACTGTGTCTTCTTAAACAAAGCTAAGAGTAAAAATGGAAGGTTTCTACATAACAGCTTACAGGATATCCATAATACCGGTAAAACAGAGTTAAAAAGAGCACCCAATCACTATAGGAATAGTACCTTGTCGATGTAAAAGTCCACCTCTGAGGCTGACTGGAACTCGCCATCCAAGCCACTTGTTCCCTTTGTCCACACCAAGTTTTTCATCTTGTGCTAAAAGTGAAATAAACTCATTTACACAAAACCATAATCAAAAGAACTTTCTTTTCCTTAAATTAAATTCCATAATAATTCTGTCCGATATCGATAGTAAGTAGTAGGCTGGATATTCTTATTGATGCCTTTGTGTATTTGCCTCAAGTTAAAAATATTATGAGTGGTGTAAGCATAGTTAAATCCAAATCTACCTACCACTCCTTATATTAAATCAGTTCTAATGTTCGATGGGAGTTGGGATCTAGTAAAGCATGCCCGCCACTCCTTCCATTGGTTTAAATCTCTTAACAGCCGTTACTCCTAGTGAGTTTTCTATACAATTAATAACCTGTCTATAAAGAGACCACCTGATTTTTTGAGATTGTCTTTACAGATACCAATTTTCACATGAGGATATCTTTCCAATACTAATACTGAAAATGTTGGTCAGTGCTACCAATTAGGTACTGTAGTTCAATTTAGACATTATTAAAGCCATCACTGTTGATAACCTCGAAAACCTGGAGACATTGATATAAATATGAATTGACTTGTATTACTAAGCTATTAATGTTATATTGTTAAAGCTTTCAATTGTTCTACAGAACTATTTCAGTTGATCTGATCCTTTAACTTCCTCAATTGTAATAGGCCATATACAAAATGTTTCCTAGACTCCTCTTTAATTTCATATTACAAATAGTACCTTGAAGCACATCAAGTGAGTTCGCAGCTCATCTTCTGACTGTAAAATAGAAATATACAGCTCATAAGAAATTGCTATACAGCGTAACAAAGTATTATATACAAATATGTTTCTGTTTCAGTCATCTGAAACAGACATGCATTAAAAAAAACACTATAATTTCAGAATTCACATAATTTATATAGGCTTCTTACTATCAACCATCTATAAACATATGGCTTGTCCAAAGCTATTGTTCAACTACATTTTTTTTAACACATAAATATTCAGGACTTCAACCTAGAATGTTTACATGATGATTGGAAACTGGATTGTTCACACATATTGGCTAAAGTTTTCAACCAAATTTCATAAAACATGACACAATGAATTTGGGTATCAATCTCGGGAGACAATTTGAAGATCAAGGTCATACATTAAAATCACAGCTATAGAATCTCTTCATGATGGATTTTTCTAAGAAATTTCAAAACACACTCTCCATAATGTCAGGGGTATATATTACGTTTAAATCCAGACTTAAATACAATTGTGAATTTCTAAATCATCTATATACAATTACATCAGAAGGTGGATAGCAGATGTTGATAGAGATATAGTTTGTCATTGTGAACAAAAGATGTGTTTGTCTTACTTACCATGTCCATGAAAATCGCTAGTTTAGACAATGGTAGTGTGGTGTACAGCTTCAGGTAGCTGAAAAAATAACAATATAACATTGATTTACACAGAACCACTTTTCGTGCAAATCAATAAATTTGTTAACATTTCGAACTAGAAATCAGCTTTTAAGAATACAAATTTTTTTAATTTGTTAACTATTTTAATTGAAGTGGTAAGGATTTTTTTTTAAATTCATACTGTCTTTTAAATCCTGTCATTTCTAAGATGACCTACATCACTGTCGTGGCCTTTCATGCTTGACCACCTTTTATACGTACTTCATAATCTACTTTTAACAGATTTCAATGGACGTAACACTTAAACAGAGCTTCTGTTTTCAAGTAATGGGCATATTTTGGATACTATCTGGGCTCACCTCCTTATGGTGGGCAATACAATCTGCTGTCTCACTTCCTCCAGGAACACTTTCAGTTGAAGCGAGAACGGCTCCTACAGTTATTACAAATGGTACAGTTTTAACTGCCTGTTCTCCAATTAAAGGAACATAATGAAGTTTAAAATATACTTGTCTGGACCACAATGATACAAAGTTCAGTACAATGTATTGTTAAACACACAAGGATGAAATTGGAACGTAAATTTCATCCTTTCCATAGTTATGTGAATCAGAACATTTTCAAGATTAAAGGCACCTAAGAGTTCAACTATACTGAACATTTCAAAGAGTTATCGAAGTTCTGTGTTACCAGCAGACGAAATCCACAAGGAATGCACGAGTCCAGCTGTGGTAGTATAGTAATCAATAGGTAAAAAAGACCATGACAACATCATGCTTGGCTTACCGGCTTTACTCACAATAACGTTAACTAGATTCAACACATTTGATGTGTCGTCATCAGAAGCAACTTTTGATACACCAGTATATACCTTGTGGTTGATGCCTGCGATTGTATCGTAGTTGGGTGGTACCGGGGACAGGAACTTGGGACAGGCAAAGGAGAAGTTCTGTTGGAACTCTTCCTGATCTCTGTGAAAATAACAAAACAAAAACATGGGTTGTTCCAGTCAATTACTAAAAGTGAATGTATTTTAGCAAACTCTAATTTTAGAACATTATCAAATTTAAACTCATTCACCCCTGACATTTCATGATGAACTAATCCAGCCTACAGATTGGCGCATTGATGAGTTGGCTAACCAACAAAATAGAAAATAGAAAACGATATACACAAACTTCAATGGCACCGTCACAATTAAGTGTAACATTTTTTAAAAAGTGTGAAAAGCGTTTAAATAATACTACCTCTAACATTTGTATGTTTAAAGTAAAAGATTGTTATGTATAAATTGCCCTTAAATTAAGACACATTGATAATAGCTTCTAAATTTGAACAAATTTTGATCTTATACTAGTAGCCCAAAAAAAAATCTGTAATTTTAACAAAAGGCATAAATAGTGATGAATATTTACTCAGTTTTGAAAATCTGATTTAAATATAAGCAATAATGAATGTTTACTGGAGTGCCAGTTGCTGTTGCGTGTAACAAAAATCACACAATCTATATTTGATAAAAATCTTAAAAACCATTTCACACACCGTCATTTTCTATCCAATAGGTTTGAAATGTAGCTAGAGGTCAAAAGGTTAAACAGGTAAATCAAGGAAGTATATCTTCTCAACAGACCTTATACATGTAACAGTGACTTTTGTAACAAAAAATATGTTTGAATTACCATTTCAACAGTAAGTTTAGTATTAATTTACAGATTTTTACTGCAAAAAACACCTCAATTAACATACACATTATTTCAGAGAGATATGTAACATACACACCTTTCAGAGAGATACAAAATCTTACATCTCTCATGAATTAAGAAAATAATTAAATTTCAGATTAATTGTTAACTTTTAAATTTGTCATGTCAGAATAGTAATAATGATTAGGTCTAAATATCTCTCATATTCTACCTTAGGCTACCCAGTGTGGAACGCTGCATCTCACAGTGATGCAGCATGAGCTCTATATTAGCTGTAAATATTTTACCCTTTTTGCATGCGCAGCATTTTGTCTGCAAACTTTTCCCGGAGCTGTGAGTGGACACTTTCATCAATCCGCATAGGGTGGAGGACGAGGCTGATAGACAACAGAGTGTACATCTTGTCATTCATCTTAGAGATCTGTAAAAAAATTACATCAATGTCATCAATGGCTCAGATCTGAACTATGTATTTATCATTTGCCATAAAAATAGTATAGAACAACACAAATATTTTACCAGTTTACCAGTGCCTTTATTCATTTTACCATTCTAAACTTAGAATTTGTAATAAAGTCCAATTTCTTGTTCTTGGCCCAAATTTACAAAACTGTTCTTATGCTAAAGCTTAAGGCTCTGTTCTCAAGCCCAATTTCTTGCTCCAGAGATAAAGTAGTAAATTAAAGTACATTTTGTTAGTGATTTGGAAGAAGTTTGGAAAGATATAAAGCCTACTATTGTTCTTAATGTCACACGATTTAAACCAGGTACAAGAAAGTTGGTTTGAGCACAGAATCCATGCTGGAGCATGAGAACCGTTTCATGAATATGGGTTATCAATTATTCAAATTTTACATTTTCAATGATTTGAAGGAACTTTGGACAGACATGAAGTAGAATATTGAGCTTTTGACAGACACAAATATAATTTTGACCAACACCTTTTTAACCATGTTGCTCAATTTCAAGAAGTTATAAGAAGGTTTGTTTGAGCACCAATTTTATGTTTTAGCATGAGAACGTTCGTCAGGTCTGTAGTACAGGTGTGTCACCCTATTTGTATAGGTGTTTGCCAAGCCTTTAACTCATTCACCCCTAAAATTTCATAATGGACTATTCCAACCTTTGATTTGGAAGAGTTCAAATGTGTGTTTAGGGATAAATGAGTTTATATGAGCATTATTGTGTGCCCTACCTGATCGTAGAGCTGAGCCCTGGTCTGGAACATCTGCTTTGTCCTCTGTATGTACAGTAGGATGTTGGAGAAAGTACGAATGGCATCCTGGTAGCGCCTCATCATCAGGTAAGCAAAGCCAACATAGTAGAAAGTAGTGATCTGACAGGCTGGGACTCGCGAATACATGTTCTGGAAAAAGTAACAATAACATTGAGCTGCTAAACAATGTATAAGGATGACTTTTTTTAGGTGCATTCCCTTATTTGGAATTTTTAACTTTTCCATTTATATTAATATCATTTTATATACTTTCTGATAATTAATTGTCAAATTAATGTTGTGAATGCATGTAATTACTCTTATTGGGAATATATGCATTTACTTTTCGTCTCAACTACATGTATTAATGATAAATGTTATTCAAATAATCACTTAGATAATTATTTGAATGGCCATGCTCTTGTCAGAATTTGTTCGAACCTTACTGAGCTGGCAGCAGAGGAATGTTTTAGTTCTAAAGTCAGAATAAAATCTGTGTATATGTTGTATAAATAGATGACAAAATCCAACAAACAAACAAAAATACATCTGATTTAATCATGAATAATTAGGGGGTATTTAATTCTGATTTCAATATGGAAATAATGTCTTGATAAGTGTCTACAAACAATTTTTATTCAAATTGATATCGTTTTGTAACGATTGTAGTCGCTAACAAAGTGCTGAAGTCCCTCATTTGTATGGAAACAGCATTAAACATTGAGTATAAATTCTAAGTCTGTGCTGGTTACCTTCTTGTTGAAGTCGATGCACTCGAGACACTTGAGAGCCTGGTAGTAGTCGCCCAGAAGAGAATGCAGCCTCAGCAGACCGATGAGACTGAAGTAGCCCAGCATTTTATACAGGGAGTGTTGTCCAAACTCCCCTGCCACACTATCAGGGTCACCTACAGATAAAGGACAGCAGTACGTCAAACACTACACTAAGTTACTGTATATCTTCACCCACATTCATGGTGAAGGGGTTGAAGTATCACAGCCAAACTCCGTGAATTCAGTTCACATACTCTATTGAAATTTGAAACCCTCAGCCTTTTAAACAACAATAACAGATAAGGGGCATTTTATAAAAAGCACTAATAAAGAATATAAACAAAAAGATAGAAAGATTTTTTTTTTACTAAAAAGATTAGTTAAGATAGGAATCATAGGCCATTTGGCAAATCTAACTTTGAATAATCCCAATTAAATTTGAGGAATTTAATACAGACATAGCATATAAATGATAAACCAACAAAAACAGAAAAACTGTGTGATACTGACTTCCTAATCCAAGCAGAAAGTATGGATTTTGTAATACTAACTGTACTTGGTACTATTACAGTGAATATTGATATACAAGACACAGATAAATCCTCCTGCAGTGTCAATCTATTCAGAGCATCTTTGTAAGGTGAAGAAATGTGAGTTGACCTTCCATAGACAACAGTCCTATTTTTAGTGCTCCAGTCCTATATTACTGGTGTAGGAAGATTACCCACCTCCACTGGTGTAGACCTCCAGCTGTCGGTTGATGCTCGACTTCTCAACCAAAGAGTGCAGAACATTCAGCACACTGTGTACATTCCAGATCTAAACAACAACAATATTATCATTAAATGATACATTAATACGACACCCGAGACATACGTATAATTTCTATTTCACTTTTTCAGGGTATGAATAATACAAATGACACCAACTTCATCATATTTGATTTTCATATATTTTAAACAATGTATTCAGACTTTTTTCCCCATCATTATTTTTATACCCCATTTCGCTCATCAAGTTTAAGTTTAAGTCCTTACATGTCCATCTAAGACAAAACCATTGTAATCTCCATCGCATAGTGATGCATGAAAATTCATTACAATAATCTTCAGCTGATACTTCTTCAGTTCTCACATTCAATTAGTCGAAATATCAGGTTTTATGTATTAAGTAAGTTGGGAGTTATCAACCTCAATGCAAATGCACACAGCTAAATGTTTTATTTCTTATATCACAGATTATTTCATCTTTAAACCTTTATTGAAGTTAGTCTCATATACCTTGGGATTTGCTCGGAGATAGGCGATTTCTTCCTCCGACTTTTTGCTGACTTTACAGCGGTAGATGCTGAAACATTGGAACTGGAAAAAAAACAAGAAATATTCTAAACACAATTTAATACAAAAGAAATGCATCAGCTTTTTAGGCACAGATTTTCTTTGCTAAGCTGAACGAGGGTTATCTGAACAGTAATTTTGGGAGGATATTTGAGTCCTGGACTTGTGCTTTTTCTATAGAACTTACCCACATTTTTAGAACCCGCTTGATTTCTTTATTAATGTGAAAGATCAATATTTTGGCAATATTTTCATACCTGGTAGATGAACTCATCTATGATATCCCAAAGCCACTGGTTTGGCAACTCCAGCGGAACTGGGCCCTCCGCATCTATTGTAAAAATCAAATTCATTTAATATCTCCTCACGGAAATTAGGACACATTTTTGGTGTCTTTTTGTCAGAATTAGGGAACATGGATTCTTGAAAAGGGTTAACACACAATGAAGTCATCAACATTGTAACAATAAACATCACAGGCATCAACATTGTAACAATAAACATCACAGTCATCAACATTGTAACAATAAACATCACAGGCATCAACATTGTAACAATAAACATCACAGTCATCAACATTGTAACAATAAACATCACAGGCATCAACATTGTAACAATAAACATCACAGTCATCAACATTGTAACAATAAACATCACAGGCATCAACATTGTAACAATAAACATCACAGTCATCAACATTGTAACAATAAACATCACAGGCATCAACATTGTAACAATAAACATCACAGTCATCAACATTGTAACAATAAACATCACAGGCATCAACATTATAACAATAAACATCACAGGCATCAACATTGTAACAATAAACATCACAGTCATCAACATTGTAGCAATCAAACAATGCTATATTTGGAAATACAAGTATGTGGCTTTGAAACATGTTATTTTTTAAACAAAGGGAAATTTACAAACTTAGCATGTAAAAATTGACCTGAAATAGATCAATTCCTGGTATATTTTACTTACTCAAGATGTAGTTAAATAAATTACAGTAGTTGTAATAGGATTCAAATCTTTGTTCCAGGGATGGTCCATTCTAGAAAAAGAAACAGTGGAAACGTAATTTTGTTTCTTTCTCTGTTATTTCGTTCAAACAAAACATGTTCCTATAGTATTGTTGTATATCATTCAGAGGAGTTATATATAGCTTTTTAATGTTAAAATTACAATGCTAACAAACACACAAATTATTTACTGAAATTACATCAGAATTTATTGAAAACTATAGTACAAAACAATACCCTGTGATCACCTACCTGAACCCTGGCATATATGTGTCTATAGTAGAGTTCTTTGTACAAGATCAGGAAGATGGTATCTGGAAAAAAGTGCACACCAGGTATATATTTGTAGCTTTTAAAGTGAAAAGTAAAAAAAAAATCATCGTCAAATGCACATTTTTATATTTAAATGTACATTTCATTACCATACTTAGTACATATTAAATACATATCTAATAACTATACAGAGATTTATCAATAAAAACTCATTGACTACATCCTTGAAAGCAATAATTATGTGGGGACTGTTTGTAGGTACGGGAAATATATTTTGTAAAATTTAAGCTCCATGTTGATAATTCAAGATATCTTAGAAATATAAAATACAACTCTCATGACAAAAGCAATCTGTGGTACTCCAGAAGTGTTTTGGGTTTAGTTACTAGTTGGTATACAATATATTCTTCATATATACTGTTTCATGAATACACCAATAGGATCCACAGAGGCCAGAGGTACAATAAATGCTACGGTGGTAAATGCTGACTTAAAACTGGTTTACCATTTCCAACTATTGGTGCAACCACTTCTGCATCAGGCCATGGGGATGTCTTAAAAAACTTGTCTGTAAGCTTGTTGAACCTGAAGCCAATTAAAAAGAAGATTTAATTTAATATTGACAGGGCTGGATATATACATACCATCCTTGATACTCCAGGAGTTCGTTCACTTTCGCTCTCTTCACCCCTGGAATATGTCACAGCAAAATTGTAGGCACGCTGCTAGCTGTTCCATTGGTCTTAGGTGAAAAAACCTGACCAATTGCTAGGCTGATACCTGTCCTTTGAAGATTACAGCGGGGCGTCTGCGGACTTCAAAGCTATTCAGTGTTACGATGTTATGCGACCACAAGATTCTTTTGATGTACATCAAAGAATCAAACTAATATACATGCACCCTTCAATTTTGCTAGGTAAGGACATATTCTAGGGGTGCGGAGAAGGAAAGTGAGTGGAACCCCTGGAGTATCGCGGATGTATACCTACAGGCATTAATCTCAGTTTAGAATTAAATTTAGTCATGTCAAACAACAATATGTATAACTACAGGCATTAATCTCAGTTTAGAATTAAATTTAGTCATATCAAACAACAAACATAATTAAACATTTAACACTTGCAACATCTACTTACCCATTCTCATATGCATTTTGTATTTCAAATATGTTCTGTTCATGGACACTTTTATGAAAATATTCAAAAAAGCTCTTGATGACATCTGGGATGATGTAGGTTTGTGCCTGGTACTGTCGCTCATATTCTAGGTCCTGCCTGGGATCTCCTGTTTAAGACGGAATAAACATTCAATACCCAGAGAATAACATAAATATTTTTCTCATATACCTGCTTAAGGTGTCAGCACTTGGTATTTTTATTATATAATTTCATAGCATGAAATAACATCATGTGGAATAAGTACACTTCCTTTATTTATGTTTTGAGAAAAATGAAATAACCTACTTTGGACGATCAATAAGGATTCTCCCTAAATATATGATGACACCCTTTTTGCCTAAATGTTTGATGGAACTTTTGTGTGTTTTTCTCACTTTATTCCCCATTTCAGTAATTACTTAATTACTGTTGGTGTTAACTCAAATCAGCCGTTCTGTTATTAATTGTATAAAATACGTATAATTAACAGTCATCGGTACCCTATCGAATTACTTGGTGGGGGGTTGGGGGCAAACATACCTGTGTGCTCATATTCACCAGGAGGATAGGCCGGATAGTATGTCTGAAAAATGAAATACATCGTAAATATAGAAGCAGCTTATGACTAGATATTTATTATCACAGAAAGGCATTGTTTATGACTAGAAATTCATTATCACTGAAAGGCATTGTCTATCATTTTATTTGACAGACCGGTGTGCTAAAAATAGTATCGTCGAGACGAATGGGGTCCATACGTAATGCTAATACAGAATGATATTGAAGTATACCTCAATTTTTCTCATCATACATTATACAAACAAACTCTAAATATCTTAACTAACTAAACATCGTACATAGAATGTAATATGAACTGATGTTATTTACCTCTGGATTAAACTCCTCGCTCCACATGGCGTTTTTGCAGGCCGACAGTCAAAGAAAGATTTACCTCCAAAGAAAAAAGAGTTCTGTGCTGTTCATTGAGAGTTACCCCTCTTTGCACACATTTACCACAGTTGTTCCCATTGTTTTTTTAATTTATGTTGTTTTAGTTATTATAATATTGAAAGTGACGAGCTAATTAACTTCTTTATATGAAATTTCATCACATGTTATATTACAAACAAACACGAAAACATTCCGTTTTCTATATTTACAGGTCCTCAGTGACAACTATCAGAAGGAATTGATTTCATAGAGCCATGAACGCAATTTGATCACAACGTTAATTTGAAGCCTCTCCTCTCGCCACGAATAGCATGCATGTGTTTGAACAACTGTTCATGAGACAACTGTTTGAAGCAAACATTTTGATAACGTTTGGCTGTTATAGGAATATAGGAATATATTTTGCATTGACACAGACACTTCAATTTCGAAAACTGTACTTGGGGCTCTATTTAATAACTGAAAATAAAGAATAAAGGATTAATTAATAATTAAATCTATATAAAGATTGAACGGCATTATTTCCATGTGGATGCCGGGATGTATGTAACCGATTCGCGTTCACCAGTATGAAATTGAAAAACAATACAATTCGGTTTAGTTTAAAAATATTTATTGCCAAAATTAGACAAGGGATTAGGCACAAGTAATAACAACTTATCACCACCTTCTCCCAATATACATTTTGAATGACATTACAATAATGACAATAAATATATACAATTGTTGTTACAATTTGAACTCACAATTTCTTGCTGGATTTAATAAAGTTTTGCACAGATCTAAAAATGTTTGAGTTAAGGTCCACGGAAAATTGTGAATTGCCAATCAAAAGAATTTCTGAATTTAACGCAACATTCAAATTAATCAATTTTTTAACCAAAATACGTCTTTCGTTTGTAAAAAGGTGACATTCCATAAAATAGTGAAAGACATTCTCACAAGGATGACCACAATTACAAGATGCACTCTCAACAAGGTTAACTCTAAAAAGGTCATAATTAAGGGAGTTGCACTTGTGTCGGAGCTTAGTATGCAAAATATTAAGTTTACGCTTTCCGATTTTAAAGTAAATATGTGGACTTTGGTCTATAATTCGAAGGAGAATGTCTGTTACCCTTTTTAAACAATGGCCTGATATTAGCTAATTTCCATTTATTTAGATAAATCCCTGTTGATAAGGACATATTAAATATTATTTCGAACGGAGTACAAACAGTATGAGCAGGGTTTTTTAGCATATAGTGGCTGATTCCATCCCCACCCGAGGCCTTGCCGAGCTTCAATATCTGTAGAAAATCACGTATTTCAGTTGAATGTAATCTAATTGAACTAATTTGTTTGTCAGTTTTTGGCTCAATAATCGGAACATCAGTGTTACTGACATCTACTCTAGTAATACTGCAAAAATAGTTATTTAATAATTCAACTTTATCTTCATCTCTAGTAACTATGTCATTAGTAATAGGATCGACTAAGGAAGGTATAGGTTGTGAAGTATCAGACTTTTTAACTAACATTTTAATTAATTTCCAATAAGACTTAGGATCAGAAGTACCCATCAATAAAATCATACACATTTTCATAAAAAGTAACACGTGCATGTTTTTTCATATTATTAACTTCGTTTCGCTGTGATTTGAATTTATTGATATTTACCAAACGTTTGGTTGACCTCGCTATTTTATGTAATCTATCCCTAATTCTTAAGTTTTTTTCTAAGCTCAGAGGTCATCCCTTGCCTATCATTGTTTTATATTAACTTCTTTACTAGGAATACATTCATTGGCAAAAGATAGATAAATGTTCGTAAAACGATCACATGCTAAATTAACTGAGTCACAATTATAAAAAATATCTATATCCAATCATGATAAGATATAAAGTTCATGAAATTTTTCAAAATTTGCACTCTTGTACTGCCAATTCTTACGTTTATAGACTGGTTTAAAAAGACAAGGAAGATTAATGGAAGCAGTACACTCTTGTACTGCCAAATCTGACATTTATAGACTGGTTTAAAAAGACAGAAAAGTCAATACAAGAAATAGAGGTAGATAATAGTATAGGATCTAGTAAGCTAGATTTAGTACGTCCGGTACGAGTAGGATCTTTATAACATTAGGTAGTGATAAGGAGTTAATGATGTCAAAAAGAACGTGATTATTTGAAGCAGTGAAGAAGTCAACATTTCAGTCCCCTGTTACTATAACATTAGGAGAGATATCAAGAGCATTATTTATAGATTTACAGTTCGGTCCTTATATAAATCCCTGTTTGGTAGGGAGACTCCCGACTCAAGTTTTGATTCTTTGGTCAGCATTTCAAAATTCTCATTTATTTATAATCAATTTTTGCTCCTATATATTATATTATATACGTCTCTGTATCAATTAATTCATTGCAAGAACGGATTAAATTATGGAATATTTTATTATGTCAAGTAAGGGATCAGTACAATCTGATTAAAATCATCTGTTACAATGCTCCGCCTGAACGTAGTACGAAGTTAACGAAGCCATGTAACATGTGATTTTAATCAGATTGGTCTTACTTAATTCCTCTGTCACTTACTTAGTCAGGACTGAGGATGGCTATTCCTGTATTTCCACACATATCAGATAAATTGCTGACTTGTTTGAAATTAAAAGACCACTTTTGACTTGAGCCCAAGTTTCAAAATATGGAATCATGATATGACCTATGTTAGCCGTTTTCGTTTATTGCAATCCAAACGGTTGGATCGGTCGGACCAGACGTGTTCGTTTATGAAAAAAGATCGGACCTAGTAATCTGATGCTGCTTTCAGGCGAGCCACGACAAAGCATTGCAAGACCTGCATTATACACGAAAATGTTACATTTAAAAACAGACAAGTGAAAAACTGTTGGTATTTTGATACAAGGAAGTGCTGTTTGCTTAGATCGGCCTTTCTTGCTTTCGGGGAATGCTGCTTTCTTGGATGCCTCGGTATATTGTTCCGTAAGCACAATAAATATTCAGTCTTTATATAAATATTTATAAATATTCAGTCTATATATAAATATTTATAAATATTCAGTCTATATATAAACAAAGTCTTGAACATTATGATTGTGTATAGGGTCGTTTTGGAATTGGAAATTGTAGTGAATTATTTGCATCTGTTTGCCCTATATAAGCCAGAAAATGCTATATTAAATACATTTCCGGCACTCCATATTAGCAGGTTTTCAAGTCAAGTAGAGAAATCAAATATAAAAACAAAGACATGTCACTGTACACTGGCAGATCCAGAGATCAAGCCGGGAGGGGACAGGTGTGTCAAATTGTCCTTGAGGGTGCTCAAACTGGATAGATAGTGATATTGCAATGTTTAGAGACATTCCAAGACATGAGGGGTCCTGAATCCAAACATAAAACTTCCATGGATCTGCCACTGTTGTAAATTATCCAAAACAAAACTGTTCTTCAACAAATACAATGTGTGTGCATATAAAAAGTCCAGCCAAACTTCATGTTTACATTTTTTAATAAATAATCATTTCCACTACGTGCAAACAAGACATGGCAAATGTCATTTTTTTTCTGACACAAACAACAGCAAGAAAGACCATGTAGTACATTTGTATACCTTAGGTATTGTAGAATTATTACAGGTAATACAGCATGCATAATCGCCCAATCAATATGGTTTACTGTACAATCTTGTAGCATACGCAATGTAAATATACAATGTACTCCCCTCCTCCACCTCTTAGTACACCCTTGTAAAACCTTGTATATATGACCATATTGTTGCCATAATATAATTTTTTCTAACAGCTATATTTAAATAAATCTAAGGAGTAGGGTAGATAACCAGGGAATGACACAATGATAACTTGTTATTGTTACTACCAAACATCCAGGCTGTCCTTTACCCCAGGAAGACCAAGGAATTCCCATTACTGGAATCTAAGGAGTAGGGGAGATAACCAGGGAATGACACACTGATAACTTGTTATTGTTACTACCAAACATCCAGGCTGTCCTTTACCCCAGGAAGACCAAGGAATTCCCATTACTGGAATCTAAGGAGTAGGGGAGATAACAAGGGAATGACACAATGATAACTTATTATTGTTACTACCAAAAATCCAGGCTGTCCCTCAACCCAGGAAGACCAAGGAATTCCCATTACTGGAATCTAAGGAGTATGGGAAATTCAATCAAATGAAAAATTCCTCAGTATCATGCATATTAACCCTTTCACCCCTATGTAACTTAAGTAGACTCTACCATGCATTGGTCCGGATGAGTCTACTATGGTCTACAGTGGTGAAACAACCTACCACTAATCACAGCACCTTGTCTTAAACATCCACATACACTACTCAGCATATGTACAGCTGTATATTATTATGTATTCAATGATTAAGCATTAAAATTACTAAAGTTGGAAGACATAAACAAAGAAATTAATATATAAAACTATACATATTTCTGTTCCTAGCTTACGTAATTTTAGACATGTAGGCATTGGTCATGATCAGTGAATATGTTTGATCATGTAATAGGCTTATCTGTATATTGCACATTTTCCTGGAGACAGATATATAGTCTTGTATCTCAGTTGCCTGGAGACAGATATATAGTCTTGTATCTCAGTTGCCTGGAGACAGATATATAGTCTTGTAACTCAGTTGCCTGGAAACAGATATATAGTCCTGTAATTTGTAAATGGGAGAAAATACTGAAGGCCCCCGTACCATCCCACCTCTTACCTCCAATATGAAAGGTATAGGATGCCATTTTACTTATTCTCATTTAGTAACATTACCTAATTGCATAGACGGTATAACTAAATCATACTTATATAATAAGGCTACATTCGCATATCCCAGTTGAAATGGTTGAGGTGGCGCAGAAATATCCTACGATAAACGAATGCACTTGGACCGAACTATAGGCAGAGCTAAAAATGCTCAGTTTCAAAGAATAAATAACAATGTATCAAGAATAATATGTCCTTCTTTCACGCGTCCAATTAATTACACAACGTATCTTAAAATCTACATGTGGCTTGACCTTGTTTATAAAGAAATAATGCAAACTAGGCCTAGCAATAGTCAGCATTTTATTTTCGGTCAGGCACGTCTGGACCCCTCAATCTTCACGTGCCGAATATTCCTGAGGTCAGCCTCAGTTCAGATCTGTGCCTGTTATTTTCTTTAAAGGTTCAACCATTTCAATTGGTTGAACCATATACGCAAAAGGGGCCAATGTTATATCACTTAAGTGATGCATTTTCTGTGACTAGGTTTACAAGGTAAGATGGTGCTGTAAACGTCAGAACCTCAGAAGTAGGTAAAAAAACACCATGACATGGTGCCAGTTGATTCAAATCAAGGAAAACAGTGTTACAGTTTGTTTTGAAGTTTTGGCATTTAAAGGCTTTGGTGATAGAGAGGTATTTTTAAGAATACTTAAAAAAAGTGAACAGCGAAAATAGAATACATTGACGTTTTCTTGGATATATCACTACATGCTATTTACTATTGTGCCTAATTCAGAAACATAAGTATTTGTAGTATTTGCACTTGGGTTTATGTTGTTTTGCATCCATTTAGCTAATTTGCTTATGTCAGAGACAAAAATCAACATCCATTTTTTTTAGAGAGATTTTTTTTAGAGAGGGGCTGAATTGCAGGCACCCAACCTGTTCCCAGGACATTTGCCAAAGTGGGGAGGGGGATTATTTGCGAGAGGGAGCTTATTTGTGGTCAAATACGATTAAGTAGGGACATAAAGTAGAATTGTGAAAAGTTGTGAGTACATGTAAAACCTTTGTATTATTTATCATTTATAACAAATAGGGCATCAATTCTGTGTTAAAGGATCAATAAATGAACCAAACAAAACAAAAACAAAAATTATACTGCAAATTAGAAGTAATAAACATTAATTGGACTAATGAAACATCAAAACCAGCATCAATAACAAGATAACAACACACAGCAAGCATCAGTATAACTAAAACACTACCCTAAAACCTTGAAAATAGGCAAGACTTAAAGGATATGTCTCATAAAACGGATTTCAAAATATTATCCTGAAAATAAATGATTCGAAAACAATCCAAACAAACCATTGCGAGCAATCGATCTTCCCCCAAATCTGGACAACCTTTGGTAATAAAAAGATCAAAGGACATTAACACTGTGGTTGGGTACAAGGCCCAATTTCAGTACACAATATTTGGCCATCCAAAGAATTATTCAAATACAAAATTTGACAGCTTTAAGTGCTTGGCATATGGATATAATCCAGACCAAGTTATGTACCATGAACAATGGGCCGAAACTCAATATATAGTACAGCACAACAAGTAATTTCATTATACAAAACTGCACTGTCCCAGATCTAGAGGGTCTCATGTACACAACCTGGCAGTTGCAGATGACAGAAATTTGGATTGCCCTGGACAAAGAGACACACAGACGGACAGAAGACCTGACAGTAGGAGTGCAATCCTACCGTCACCTTAACCAGTAGTACCAACAGGGGAATAATAAGCTGCCTAGAATTTGTCGATTGACCAATTGCTATGTCTATATTTAGCAATTTATGTGACAATATGAAAACATGTACATTGTTCATGAAACTGGACAAATCTCTATCAAAGTCTAGAAACTAGGCCAATGATGATATATATATCAAATACACACAAAATAAAAGAGGTTGTGAAAGTTGCCTGGTGTCTAAAATAAGTGATGATTCCGAAATAAACAGGGTAGTAGTCTGTTGCTATGGAATTTCTTTGATAGAAAAAAACTATGAAAAGATCAACAAATAACACCAATAAACAAAGTTGTCTGTTTACAATAAGATCTTGACATTGCACTCTTCCCTTGCACTGTGGAAAATTGAAGCACCTTAAAAACAGTAACACATGAAAAAATGCACACAAATCTGTATATATATTGATTTTTCAGAAGCCTTTCATTTTCATGAGTTTTCAATAAAAATTAGAGTAAATACACTGTACATTAATTAATGGCTGTTAATTAAACCTCTTTTAACCAAATGCTACAGAGGGAAGTTTATACCAAAACCAAACTTTCTGTCTGTAATTAACTTATTGTCTCCATTATCTGAGGAGATGATTTTCTGCAACATTTAACACAGCTAAGTTACAAACAGTGTGGGCATCTCTCCTTATCTACAGTCCGTGTACATCGTAAAATGATTACCAGAACAGACTGTAGCATTGTGAAGATGCATTTAAAAGTCTGCAATTTGGTTTTGTAATAAAACTTATCTATATCGTGTCATCATACAAAGGAAACAAACTAAACTACAGAGCTGTATTGTTCATAAAAAGCTCTGTCTAAGTTCACAGAATGTGTAAAACTCTGCAAATGGGGTTGGTATGACACAGCCCTGATCCTCAGTTGAGATGGTGTGACACAGCCCTGATCCTCAGTTGAGATGGTGCGACACAGCTCTGATCCTCAGTTGAGATGGTGTGACACAGCTCTGATCCTCAATGAAGGTGATGAGTTGCAACTTTATTTCTTCAGTTGAGATTGTGTGACACAGCCCTGATCCTCAGTTGAGATGGTGTGACACAGC